GAGTGATAATATAATTTATATATGTAGATACTTATTTCATAAATTTTTAGTTGTGGTTTTTGCAAGGGTTGGAAATAATTGATATTTATTATTATATTTGGTATTTTTAAAACTTATTGATATTGAATATTGAACTGGAATAAATATTAAATAAGGTAACACTGAAAATATTCTACTGAAGATTTCAGATATTTTTTGAGTGACATAGTGATAATATAATTTATATAGATATATATTTCATAAATTTTCAATTGTGGTTTTTGCAAGGGTTGGCAATAATTGATATCTATTATTATATTTGATATTTTTAAAACATATTGATATTTAAATATTGAACTGGAATAAATATTGAATAAGATAATTGGAAATATCCTACTGAAGTTTTCATAAATTTTCAATTGTGGTTTTTGCAAGGGTTGGAAATAATTGATATTTATTATTATATTTGGTATTTTTAAAACTTATTAATATTGAATATTGAACTGGAATAAATATTAAATAAGGTAACACTGAAAATATTCTACTGAAGATTTCAGATATTTTTTGAGTGACATAGTGATAATATAATTTATATAGATATATATTTCATAAATTTTCAATTGTGGTTTTTGCAAGGGTTGGCAATGATTGATATCTATTATTATATTTGATATTTTTAAAACATATTTAAATATTGAACTGGAATAAATATTGAATAAGATAATTGGAAATATCCTACTGAAGTTTTCAGATATTTTTTGAGTGACATAGTGATAATGTAATTTATATATGTAGATGCCTATTGCATAAATTTTCAATTGTAGTTTTTGCAATAATTGATATTTATTGTTATATCTAATATTTTTAAAACACGTTCGTGTTTAATATTATTAATATAAATATTGAACTGACAAAGAACAATTGATCACGGTAATGATTTAATAATTTAATTGAATGATAATTATATTTTGTATGTATTTTTTATTATTGACAATCGAATCAATTATGCTCAATTATGCTTTATGTGTTGTCAATGACAATACACAGTAATAACAATATATGTTATCAATAATGACATGTTTCTATATTATGAACAAATTATTATTAACAGCATAAATTATTAAATTATTCGGTTGAATTCAGAACATACTCGATTCTTAATTAAACCTTGGATTTTCCAGCCGAAAGTCTCTCGTGTTTTATATGATTCTGTAATTTTGGAAACACAATGGCCGAGCGCCTATCGACGAGCAACTCTTTCGTTTCGGTGCCGTTTCCTTTTTTCCCCCCAAATCTCTCAAAAACGAAACGAACAATGGCTTGTAAAAAAAAATACCCGCGAGATAATCTTCGCAACGCGAGTAAAATACACAAGCATTTTGCAAAGCGTCGTTTCGGTCGATGCAACATTTTCGCAACTCGTGCATTATCGTTTCGCCGGCTTTTGATAATGCTGGCGAAATAATTCGCATACGTAACATTATCGAGAAATGTAAATAAAGTAACGGGGGGTGGGGGAAAGCTCGCTTTACGCCAACGCGTAGTGGATTATTCGTGCAGCATGCGAAATGAAAGTCGGCATACCAAAAGTTTTGGAAATTATAGAGCAGAGTACAAAATTCAATGGAGAATAATTAATCGCTAATAAAAGGAGAGAGAGAGAGAGAGAGAGAGAGATTTAAAGCCAAATATTCCGCGTCGCGATAACACTCTTACTAGTTCTAATACCGGTTCAAGTAAGATTGTAAAAATTAATCGATAGTAATAAAAAAGACGTGAACCTAAGCTGAACCTAAGTCAAATTCAAATTAAAAAATTCAGATATTTTTCATTGTATTACTCAACGACTGAGCGCGCAAGCAATAATAAAATTGCCAATATCTTCGCATTGACATTGTCTCGCGACTATTTGCAGATTATTTAATGAATGAAACTTCCCACGCGAATTTTCACTGAAATGTGAGAAAAAAAAAATTCGAAACGAGCACTCACAGCGAGGGAATCGAAAAAAAAGAGAAGGAAAAAAAAATTTTCCACGTCAGCAACAATGTGTTTTTGAATTTTCGAGCAGTTTAATCTGCTCGATATTATTATTTAATCGATGGAATGGAAATAAAAATGGAACTGGACGACAGATGATTTCGAATGCGTGGCCAAACACGCTGACAATCGTGGTACACGCAGCGAGTTTATTACGTACGCAGAGCTCTGAGCGTGAAACTAAATGAACTCGCAACGCCACGGGGTCGAAGGATGAACTATGTACAATTTCAGCTGGCGGGTGTTGCAGAAGTTTCGTTCCCGGTACGTGACACGATAAACCGGCGCAATTTCGCGAGCTAGTTAATATCTCGGCAAATATCGGGAAGCGAGGGCATTACACAATTTTCATCCGGTTCTCTCCCACCCGTCCTCCCCTCGGAAAAATACAAATGAACGACGCACGAGAATGCTAAACTAGCCGGAATATCTTGTAAACTCTTCCGAGAGCGAATAATCTTCATGTTCGTCGAGAAAAATACGTCAGCTTGCGCAATGAACATTTATAAATTTTATGTTTCGCGATGTTTCTTGCCGCGATGGGGAATTATGACAAGAAGAAATCAGACGAGCGAAACGTTTCAGTGAAATTGATGTTCAAACAAAATTCATCGAAACAGTGAACGAAACGTTGTGATAAATAAATATATCAACGTACATGTATCTGTAAAATACGATAATATGGTATATATTGTATAATGATATATATTGATATATTTAATATATATGTAAACATTATAAATGAATTACAATAGATAATATAAAAATTAAAATTATATTATAATATAATGTAAAATAATATTTTATATTATAATTTATATTATATTACAGCATAAAATAATATTTTATATTATAATACAATATAATTTTAATTTTCATATTATTCATTTTAATTCATTTATTATGTTTACATTTATGCATATATATTAGATATAATAATAATATTTTAAATTATATAAAAATAATATTTTAAATATAAAAAATATAAAAAATATAAAAAAATGTAAATAAAAGGTATAAAAATAATATTTTAAATATAAAAAATATAAACAATATAAAAAAATGTAAATAAAAGATATAAAAATAATATTTTAAATATAAAAAATATAAAAAATATAAAAAAATATAAATAAAAGATATAAAAATAATATTTTAAATTATAATATAATATAAAATAATATTTTATATTATAATACAATATAATCTTAATTTTTATATTATTCATTTTAATTCATTTATTATGTTTACATATATGCATATATATTAGATATAATACAAAATAATATTTTATATTATAATATAATTTTGATTTTTATATTATCTATTTTAATTCATTTATAATGTTTACATACATACATACATATATATTAGATATATTGGATATAATATAAAATAAATAATATACATATATATACATATATATACATATATACATATAATATACATATAAATAATATACATAAGTAAAGTTTGATCGATAAAACGTTAAATATTAAACGAAACATTGCACGAAATACGTAAGTAGGAAGAATGAAATAAAATTGAGGATCGTAATTTAATCCCTTAAGAGCAGCTTTAACGTTCCTCGGTCATTGTCTATAAAATAGCGAGGAAAACTCAACTGTGCAACAATGCACAATGCAAAAAAATTCGTGCTGTCCGATAGGAATTGACAGGGGGAAAATTAGAAAAGGAACGAGATACAGAGTTGGACCAGAAAAAGGAAAATAAATAAATTTTGCACGCACGACGAAAAATTCTCGATATTTTAAAACTGTCGTAACTGTCATGCAGAAGAAAAAAAAAAAAAACTCGTACAACGATCTACATAGTTGATCTCGTTTTAAAACACAGAGACACTTCTGAGTTCGTTTCTTTCAAAGATTTTTCTACATCTTGCTCAGTGGAAGCAAGAGCAGTGATACTTTCGTTCTCGCATGGTAAAAATGGTAAAAATTCAAGCATCTTTAAAACTAAGACCACTGTGACTGTTAAAAGGCGCTTGTGAAACACGTTTCTCTATATATATATTTTTTTTTCTTTTTCTTGTCGCGTGAGAAAGAATCTTGAAACAGAGAGAAAATTACATTATATAATAATATTTAACATTTTACATTAATATTATTAATATATTTTATATTATATTTTATATAATAATATTTAATATTTTTATTTAATAGTAAAAAGTATTTTAATTATTAAATTCACTGGTATTGGATAATATCATTTCAATTAAATAGAAAAGGAAATGAGGTTGCAACCGAGAAATTAGAGAACTGAAAATGATAGAATTTACTGAATTAACGAAGAGTGTCTCTTAATAATAAATCGTGATGTTACAAATAAATATAATGTTGTAAAATAAATGCACAGAAGGATGATACTTAACCCCGTGATTACAAATTATTCGATTTCGATGGCTCTCGAAGGAGCAAACTTCAACTCTCTAGAACTTCGTTAAATTTAATTCGAAGTTTGAATTTAATTTCTTTAAATTGAATATTAAGGGATGCATTAACAAATTGCAGATAACGTTTCGATCTGAAATAATTCACATTAATACAAGTTGAAAATATTAATATATACGAATATGAGAGACGATCGAAAGAAACATTATTTATACACACACACGCGCGCGCGCGCGCGCGCGCGAACCACGGAATTCTCGCGAAAGTGGTTCAAACATTCCGAAATCGGTAATGGGCAACCTCGGCAACCACCTACCAATACGCAGCCTCCTCTGTTTCGGCAAATAATTCGACAAAGTTGTTCCCGGGGTCTAGTTAGGCGAACGATAGCGGAAGTCAAAGCTTATTTGATCCGACGGAGAGTGCAGAGAGTAAATTGCTAATCAAACAACTCTAATTGGCCGAGTTAGATCGATCGGTCTTTCCCTCAACTGATCCATAACACATGTGCACACACGTATACGTAAATATAGTGCACGTGCGTGCTGTCATATGTGTGTACGTCTGTTGTAGAATCGGTGGAGAAGAAGTGCGGCTACAACGGCCGCTGGGAGGGCCAGAACGGCACGAGCAACGAGGAATACCTCCACGGCTGGGCAAACTACACAACTTGCCTCACGCCAGAGATACTCCGTCTTCACGGGAAAGTTTACACCAACACCATCGAGGGTAACGTGAGTATCGCCCCGTTATGTAAGCGACGGAAATGCAGAAATCGAATCGGGAGGCAGCCAGCGCCGGCTGATCCCCCGTTTCCGGCTGATCGATCACTCGCCTTTCGTTCACGCTGGATTTACCCGTTTCACCGGGGCGAATTCGTTTATCCGAACGGTTTCTATAATTGAGGTTCGTTCAGTGGGAGATACACCAGTGCCAATAACAGCGAAGAATCGAGCCGATGTTACCCTCGGGAGAGACGATCCACTCGCGATCGGTCTCGCGAAATCTCCGGCTTCGACAGCCGCGGCGATACTCGAAGATGAGTTTACGTCACTTCCTTCTATTGAGGATCATCGAAAGTTCGAGCGAGTGTAAGGAAAGATGTAAGAAATCGTTCCTTTCCTGAGATCTGTCGTTAGCTTCAAACGCTGAGATCCTCTTTCTTCAAAACCTGGTTGAACATCGGGATTGAGAAGAGAAAAATTCTTCGAGTAATGTTCTTCGAGCTGAACTGAAATCTTAGAGGTTTTCAATCATCGATGCTGCTATACTCGACTTTGTCGCGAGGAAAAGAAATCTTCGAACGCGCGAACTTTGAATTTTTTGACAATTTTGACGAGGGAGAACCAGAGACCGAATCGGTATTACGGATACCGGTAAAATGCCGGTATTTTTTGGTTACTATTTTAGATTACGTTTGATGAAACTGAAATGGTGCGAATAACGGTATGATGCTATCAAAACGATGTTAGGTCGGTAGATGTATTTCGGTATAACATCGGTAAATAAAATATTAATATATTAGAAAAGGAAAAGGAGACAATGATGAGATGTTTTCATAAAGCCGATAGTAAATTTGATGACGCTTGTACACGTATCCTTTATTATTTCTAATACTAATTCATCGTTGTATCTCCATACAATATCAGCCACGATACTCTTACTTAATTTTAAAAGATGACCGATTTCTCGATACGTTTTTCATTTTTCTCGGTGAAAAATGACTAATTGTCGTACGTCGATAAATCGAAAGAGGAGTTGGAACAACGATTAATCGTAGAATGGAAGAATAGTCCGCAAAATTACTTACTGAAAAAAATTACTGGAAATATGCCTAAGCATGTCTGCGATATATTATTGAAGTTAAGGGCTACCTAACAAAATATTAATTATCGTTTATGTTAACAATTTTTAGGTTCAAAGATTGTAGTTCTTCAAATGTGAATATTTTTGCCACGCTACGTTTCGACATAGTTCAGTTTATTGTTTGACATTAAGTAAAGTATGTGCAATAAATAAATAAAATTTATGTCACTATAAACTGTAATGAATGTTCTATTATATTATTAAAAAATTCATTCAAATTCACTATGATAAACAATCGAAATCCGCAACAATATTTTGAATAGCATGATGTCCGAATATTAATAAGAGCCACTGTACGTAGAAAATGAAAAATGTGTTTTCGTCAGTAAAGCGATATATATTTCGGTATTTTCACCGTTGTGGACATCAAATATCGATAAAATACGTATGAAAATACCGGTATGACCGTCTTATTCCGGTATTAAAACCAATTTCCCAAATAGCGGTTATATTACGATAACATGGGAGCAAATACCGGTATAATACCTAAACCTCACAATATTTCGGTTTCAGTTTCTGAGTATAATACCTAAACCTCAAAATATTTCGGTTTTCAGTCTCTGTTGCTGCTGCACGACGTAAAATCGTAGAGAAGAACTCGCGACTGTCAGAGAAATTTCGCGCCTTTGAGATCGGATGGATCGTCGTGCGATCTTCTTTTCACGAAGTGACATCAGTCGAAATTATCGACAATTTTTCATTGGCGTTGCCTCCTCGCTGTAATTAAAGCAAATTACTATGGAAATATGTTAAAACTTTATTTTTCTGAACTACTCGGACGAAGTTTCTTTCCCGCTATTATTTTCCGTTCTGGCGGTGAGATTTTCTGTCGGTCCGTTTGTTTATTTGATCTCTCGGAATTAGTTTGGTAAATTTCTCGCTCTCGTTAGACAAATACAGATTCTTTTGAATTTGTCGGTGTATTGAATAGTTCCCCCATTGTTTATTATTTTTCGCTCTAACAGCATTCAATAAATGAATCTCTATTGTAAGTCCATTCCCCGTCAAAATAAAAAAGAAATATTTTTATATTATTCTCTCTCTCTTTTTTTTTTTTTTTAATGCAATGGGACAAAATTTCGAAGACGTGTGCTATTGACAAAACTATAACATTACGAATGGAATGTTTACTCACTCGAAGAAGCTCATTGTCATTTCTTTCAAATCTAAACGTGTTCTGAAATCGTTCGCAGGAGAGACATAACAGAAATAATAATTCCACGAGGGAAAGAAAAGATATTGCGAAATTAAATAAAAAATTGATTGGAAATGGCGAACGATAAAATGAGGAGACGTGACATTTCGCGAGAACATTTCAATTTCAGTGAGCAAGAGAGAAGGAGAGATTCGCGTTTCTCTTTTAATATTAGCGCGATCGAACATCTCCATCAATGTGTCAAATTTCCCTTTTCTATAATTGTTCCACAGATATGGGTATTTCCGTCGAGATTGATATTGTTTTCTGTTTAGACAAATTATGTTGCATTAAATTATGATTTAATATATTAATATAATATAATGTATAATATATAAATTAATATAATATATAATGATAATTGTGAGTTACATGTAGAACATTTATAAAATACGTACAAACATTCTGATATTAGTTAGTAATGTTCTTTCCTCTTTATTTGGTCATTCGTATCGCGAGATTAAAATTTCTATTGGCTATGGATACTCGATGACTTTCTATCTATATATGCAATTCCGAAAGGTAAAACGGTAACAAACATCGGTGGGAAAAAGATCGCGAAACTGTCGGATGATAAAACGAATTGGAACGGGGAAAAAAGTGACAACACAAAAAGGAAAGAGTGGAGATAATTTATGGCGGATGATTGTGTTCCCGTTTATTTAGACGTAATTACTGGAATTTGTTTTTTTTTTTTAATCGATTGCATTTGTTGCCTTTTTTCAGATGAAGCTGGAGATAGCTGAAAAGACACGAACGTTGGAATTCGTCGGTTTAAGCATCTCTTTAGTAGCCTTGCTCGCTTCGCTTGCTATATTCTGTCGCTTTAGGTAAATTACTTGTTGCATTGAAACTATCCCACTTGGAAAATTATGTTCATCGTGCCTGCTTATTACGGAGTGAAATTTATTTATTAGTTCAATTACTTGAAAAGTTATATCAGTGACGAATCATTATTTAATAACACTCTAGTCGTTATTTTGTTGTGAAGCTTCTAGTGAAATTAGAACGATTATCATTGAAACTTTATGGAAGTTAATTAGAATTTTCATACTGCCTCTTCGTGAAAATTAAAGCAGATTTTCTATGAATGAAACAGTGCAGTAATAATTTTATTAATGACCGAGAAAGACTGGAATAGATTTATTGTTTTTACCCCACATATTTTAATTCATAAAATAATCCATTCCAGTTATATTTTTACTCCAAATGTAACTAGTACCATTTAATTATTTGTATCTGTATAATCATTTCAAAAATATTCTAAAAATAGAAGGAACCTTAAAAAGCGTATCTCTCACTCAGTGTATCGTTAATACTATTTAATTTCCATTTTCCATCTTCCATATATAAAACACAATGCAATTTCATAGATAATAATTATCTCGGTAGAAAGGAAGAAAATACGTTTGTTCGTGAAAACTGGGTTAAGTCCTTGCCAGGACTACATTATTAATGAAATGAGACACTAATGGCATCATATAGCTCCCCAGATGCGGGGAGAGCCATTTATTTCACAAACGAGTTACAATGATTCTAACACCTCTCTCACTGACACCTTCACATTAGAATATAAATATACGAACGTTGCGTCAAGAACAAAATTTTATTAATATTCATATGAATTCAGGTCTCTAAGAAACACCAGGACCAGGATACATAAGAATCTGTTCGTTGCCATGGTTGTCCAGGTTTTGATTAGATTAACAGTGTACATAGACATGGAAATCCTAAGGAGAAAGACTTATGGCATTCAGAGGGGCATTGGGAATACTGTAAGTGCTTGCATATAACAACAGTTTGTTGTTTTACAGCTGTATTAATGTTTTTCTTAATTGACTTACAGTCTGTTATAAAAGTCTATATACATCCCTTGAGTAAAGAAATACATTTGACTAACAAACTTTCATTTTCCAGATACATTAACGTACAGCTAGTCATAAAATTTGAAGCATTGCAAAATAAAATTTCATATTACTATATACGTAATTTTATATTTATAATCCTTATTGGAGAATTTGTAAAATATATATGTATTTAAGGGAAGTAGTATGATTTATAATACTTTTAGTAGGAGGAAGAAGTAAAAAGGTACAAAAAGATATAATATGATAGAAGTAGATTTAATATTATTAATAGTGGCCTTTAGTCTTCAAAAAATCAAAGGTTTTATAATTGGTAATACAGCAAATTCAAAATCATTTTACATTGAAAGTGAGTGTAGATTAGCTAACAATAATTGTTTACTAACAATAAGATTTATTGGACTATACTAAAACATCCGGTAATAGATTCAATCTATCTTCATTTTTCAGTAATAATATTCGAAGCGCTTCTGGGCGCCCAACAGCGAACAACCTGTTATGCATTCGTACAGCAGCTCGCTGTCAGGCGTTCAGCCATTAAAATTTCATTACTGACAATAAGAAACAAAGCAAAGGCAAGGACATGTTTATTAGATGAAAAAATGCCATCATCCCATCATTTTATACTGGCTCAATACAATTATATTATATGTACATGCATCTAAAATTGTGTATTTCTTTTTTTTAATCAAAAATATCTTAATTTTAAATACATGGTCTAATATTCTTGTATTATAATTGCTACTCTTTTATTATTTTATTTTTTGAAACGATTTTGTTTAAATTTGCAGAAACAAGGATGTTATATATTGTATATTAATTAATTCTCTAATTTTTTAATTCTTCCAACAATATGTATAAGTACAGTATAATTTACTTTCGATTGAAACGAAAGATACAGAAATGAAGAAGTTATTACGTTAATTAGAAATAATTTCAATTATTATGCAAATGTTACTAAAGTCTGAGTATCTAAAATCTATCTTAAAAAATTTCCTTTTTCTTATAGCCTGTGCTTTGTGAGGCCAGTTATGCTCTTTTGGAATACGCGAAAACTGCAATGTTCATGTGGATGTTTATAGAGGGTCTGTTCTTGCATAATATGGTCACTGGTAAGTTAATCAACGTTTATTGTCTGAGAGCTTTCTAAAACTTTTGTGGCTCGCTCTTTTAAAACTCTTCCCACCAAGTACACATCCCCTTTTTAATCTTGTCTCAATGAAAATTTATCATGCTTACTTTGTTGTATACTTGAGAAGAATATTCAAGTTTCAAGATAAATAAATTTGAAAGAGACGACCCAACAAATTGTCTATATTATGAAGTTATTTACTTATTTTATAAGTTTAAAATTTGATTAAAAGTTCCGCTTGTCTCCTTCTTTAATCGCTGTTTCAGTAACAGTGTTTCAAGAAAACTCGTACTACAGGATATATCGGTTCGTCGGATGGGGATGCCCTGTCGTAATGACGCTAATTTGGGCTATTATTACCGCGTTCTGTTATCATCCAAGATCGAAGTAAGTCAAAGATGGTCTGTAGGAGATAGAGCTGTAGCTCGACGAAATTCAGTACTAAGTGATCGATAAATCTATCATATATCCAAAGATTATTTAGTTACCTATCATGATGAATTTATTGGATATCCTTCTTAGATGAGGTTGAACATTTTATAGAACGTAGAAATTCATTTAGTTCTGAATTTTGTTGTTGAATATAAAAACATATTATTCACTGTAAAAATATTTGTATTAGATTTTCCAGATGCTGGTCCGGATACAACCTGTCTTCCTATTTTTGGATCCTGGAAGGACCCAGGTTTGCAGTGATATTGGTAAGTAATAAAGTTTAATTTACAGTTAAAGGCTATGTACAGTGAACTGTAGAAATCATTGTATTGATTCTAATCCTTTAGCTCAATTTTCTGTTCCTGCTGAACATCGTTAGAGTGCTCGTAATGAAGCTTCGACAGAGCCACACTAGTGAAATCGAGCAAGTCTTGTAAGTAATCTCTTCACCGGGTGACAATAACTTCACCAGCAAAAGAGGAAGAAATCGAAACGCGAGACAAAAATATTTAATCTTCTTGATCTTTATAAAGACTGTCAATTAATTGAGTTACTCAACTTCCAGTTTTTTATTTATAATAATGAGAAAAACACAAAGACAGTGGAAGAAGCAACAATATAGTACTAAATTAAATACTGTAATATCAATATTAAATACAATTTAGTAACAATTAAATTGCAATTAATTTATATTTTAGTTATATTACATTAATATGATTTAACATTAATCAAATGCAGAATAATAAGGACGCACATATTTTATAGATATACTTTTATACTGACGAGATAATAATAATAAATTCTAGTCTGAATTTGGGAAAATGCTTTTTCAAATTACAAAAAATAATTCCAGTGTCAATTTGTCAATTTTCTGATTTTTACAGAAAAGCTGTGAGGGCAGCTGTGGTTCTTCTGCCGCTGTTAGGCATCACCAACGTGCTCTTCATGATCGAGGCACCTCTGCACAACGTGAAGAAATTCGCGCTATGGTCTTACTCCACGCATTTCCTTCAATCGTTCCAAGGGCTTTTCATTGCAACGCTCTACTGCTTTTTAAACGGCGAGGTGAAGCAATTAATCTCAAAAAAAGAAAAAAGAAAGAAAGAAAATTGACTGAAATTTCTGTGCTCTCATGTTTTATATACAATTGAAGTTTGATATACAAATGAATTTTATGTACAGTTGAAAATTCTCCATAGCGAACTCTTTCTGTTTGCTTCTCCAATCAATAATCAAACAGATGGTTAAACGAGAACTGCATGTTCATGTATTATGCATGGAGATGGCAAGGTAAACAATGCATTCATGGGAGTGCCAAGGTCGCACAAAAATTCCAACAAATTACCATCAATGAGTTTTGATTTTTATTGGAAACTTTTTGTATATTGTTTGTTAGTTCTTCATTATCTGTTTGTGACTCAAGACTATAACGATAATTGTAATTAGTTGAGGTATTCTCTATAAATCATTAATTTAATTAAAAGTTCCTCACATACCATTCGATAGTTATTACGCTCAATATAAAAATTTAAAGAAAGTGTAAAAATTTAAAGAGTGCCTGTTGCATTCAACAGAGTAATATTAGTTATAATACAAAGCTACAAAATGCTTTGAAATCTATATACTAAATAAAAGATGATTTAAAATTAATAATAAATTAATGTGCTCGTGTGTACACACATATCAGTAATTTATTCATTTATATTGCTTTTATAGCAATTGCATTAATTATTAATATCAGTAATTTTTTGAAACATACATTCCAAAATTATTCCAATACAAAAACAATCGGAATTTGTTGAGCGTTAACGTGTACAAGGTCCGATTTGATTCAAGAAATATTATAGATTAGAGTGGGAGAAAATAGTGATGTGTAACGTGCATCGTGTGGGCGCTTGACCCTCGATTAGTCTTGATTTTATCGGTCACAGAATTTATGTTGTAATCGTTTCACCAATTTAATTTCTAATTAAATTAGGAGTTTCAATTATGCCTTGTAATAACTCAGTGGGCGGTATATAACGGCACGATTAAGTGATCAATTACTGTCTGGTGTGCAGGTGAGACTTGCTCTGGACAAGACTATCTCCGTCTACCTTTCTTTAAGAGGAACCGACCTGCAAGCAAGGAGGCAGTCGACGTTCAGTGGTTGCCAGCCGCAAAGAATTGCGTCCGGTGAGTGAATTGTTAAACTTATCATTTAGTATCTTACATTTAGTATCTTAATTGCATGTAAAATTGAAAAAAAAAAAAATGTTTTATCAGTCTGTCTTCTTAGTAATTCAAGTTTTAGTAACATAAATATTTTATTGCTGTTTTATTAGAATGGAATTTATTTCTTTAGAAAAATATCACCTCGGTTAATTATTATTATAATTATGATCATGATAGAAATATATATATATAATTATATCACTTGATATTTGTTATTTTAAAACATCCTTATGCTTTTCTTTTTAATTACATAGATGAAATTAATTATTAAATTTTATTCTTATTATATGAATGTAAAATACACATTTCTGTACGTAGAATCGTTTTAACATTTTTCTCTTAATTTTAATCCTTTCTTACTTAATAATACCTTTCTTACTTAATACGTCAATAATTCAACCAATTTTAAAATTCTCATAAAATTCCACATCCCCGTAAATATAAATTGCATCACGAAAAATTAGCCAAAGACGTTCGAATTTATTATTTTTCAATTATCAATTTATCAATTCGCTATGGAATAAAGCAGATTACATCCGCGGGTATATATAAATTAAATTTATCAGAGCGCGCCGATGCTTGTAATTCTTTGCAAATAAACGAAAAAGATTCAGCATCGATACATATTTATACGTAATTTTTAATATTATTATCAATCGTTAACTGTAATATTAATTTGGCAAACACACCTGTACAGATAAATTTCAGCATTTAACCATAACTTTGTAACAAAACATCAAATATTCGATTATTACTGAAATATATTCATTTTGAAAATTAAGACAGAAAATTTTTCATATCGATCAACGATAAGAATTGATTTTAATTCCTTACGTTTGGTTGAGAAATTAATTGCAAAATTGTATTAATCCTTGATGAAACAGCATTGTTAATTAATTAAACACTGCAACTGAGGCAATTTTTGTCAAAGCTTATCGAAAGCAAATACGATTGCATACGCGTTCTAGATCGTTGATTTCAAAGTTTCTCCTTTGTTAAATTCGAATCGGCGAATTGCGATTGCAATTATCTAAATCGTGAACGTCGTAGTCACCGACAACGTTACGCAATTCTCTTTGAATCGTTATCATTATTATTGTTGTTGTTCAACAACAGCTACTTGTTCAGACAATTAATATTTTAATCGAAAAATATTTTAAAATAATTTGAGGTGTCATTCAGATGGGTTCGTTCAATAACTATTGATTCAAAAGATTTAAAATGACACTATCAATAAATTATAATTTATTAATGACGCTATTAATTAATAATAATTGATGGCATTGTTTGTAGTTAATCAATTTCTCGATATGACGATAACGTTGTTAATGATGTTTGTTCATTCATCAGGAGTAACAATATTGATACAATTTCATGGTGATTGTCACTTCAGCAGAAACGAATTATTCCACTCTGTGAATGAAAGACATTAGTCGGAATTTAGACAAGACACAAGCAATACTAGAAATTATTTTTAATCGTGAAATATTCAGAAACTTATCAGGTTTCCAATCAAATTAATGAAATCCAGAATGAAATCCCTCTCCGCGACCTCCTCGAGAGTCGATTTCACGCGAGACGTAGGACGAGGCAAAAGATCCGAGGGGAGATCGCGAAAACCGGTCAAATTAAGTTTCCTGGGTTCAAGAAATTTAATTCGTTAAGTGAGGGAGGATTGAAGAACGAGGAGAACGAGAAGGATAATCGTTATTGATTGGCACGTGCAGTGATCGAGATGGAAGAAGAGGAGATGAGATCCAGTGGATGGATAAGACTGTGCTGTCGAGGTGGAAACACCCCACCACCGGACCGACCTGCCGAGTGAGTAATGATCGAGGAAACTTCGCCAATCCGCATTTAGATCATTACCAGCATCGAAGGTCGATCCTCTTCGCAGCACTGTACCAGTAGGTAAAAACACACGCACACGGAAGCATGTCCTGTTGCATCTCTTCTTCCATGTCACCTCCTGTGTGATCCCCATTGAATTATCGTCATGGGTTTATGCTTTAGGTATATTTCGTTTGGATATAAAAATTCTAGCCACCGGTTGAGAGAAGTAATAATTAACAAAGTTCTTTTCAGTAATTTTATCCTTTGCTTTAATTCCTGCTGAATTCAGCGAGATTGATTTTACTGAAATTCACCGGTTAAGTGAAATTCTTGATAATTACGAGGGGTTTAATGGGTTTGGAATTTTTAGGAAAATCTTTGACTATTCTCGATTATTTCCTTGTAATTTTGTACTTAAAATGAAGGATTCGATTTAAAAAAAACGAATCCCGCAGCATTGGAACCCAATCAATAGTTAATGGATCTGCCTAGCTCTCCCCCCAATTATTTCCTTTTAATTTTGTACTTAGAATCAAAAATTCGATTTAAAGAAACGAATCCCGTAGCATTGGAACTCAATAAATCTGAAAGTGACTCTCCCTGGCTTTCCCCAATTATTTCCTTTTAATTTTCTACTTAAAATGAAGAATTCGATTTCAAGAAACGAATCTCGTAGCACTGGAACTCAATCAATGGTTAAATCTAAAAATGGCTCTCCCTGGCTCTCCCCAATTATTTCCTTCTAGTTTTGTACTCAGAATGAGGAATTCGATTTTTAAAAAACGAATCCCATAGCACTGGAATCCAATCAATGTCTAAATACAGAAATGGCTCTCCCTGGATCTTCCTGGCTCTCCCCAATTATTTCCTTTTAGTTTTGTATTTAGAATGAAGAATCCGATGTAAAGAAAGGAATCTCATAGCATTGAAACCTAATCAATGGCTAAATCCAAAAATGGATCTTCCTGACTCTCCCTGGCTCTTCCTGGCTCTGCCCAATTATTTCCTTTTAGTTTTGTACTTAGAATGAAGAATTCCATTTCAAGAAACGAATCTCGCAGCATTGGAACTCAATCAGTAGTTAAATCTAAAAAATGGCTCTCCCTGGCTCTTCCTTGTTCTTCCTAATTATTTCCTTTTAGTTTTGTACTTAAGATTAAGAATTCGATTGAAAGAAATCCCATAGCACTGGAATCCAATCAATGTTTAAATACAGAAATGGCTCTCCCTGGTTCTTCCTCGCTCTCCCCAATTATTTCCTTTTGTACTTAGAATGAAGAATCCAATGTAAAGAAAGGAATTTGAAACCTAATCAATGGCTAAATCCAAAAATGGATCTCCCTGGCTCTCCCTGGCTCTCCCTGGCTCTCCCTGGTTTTCCCTCGTTTTGTTCCATTTTTGTGTTTTTTTTTCGAACTCTATTATATTTCTAACAAGCTTATTTAACTTCCCTTCTCCCAAACTCAGATATACTTCTTTAAACATTCGAAGCGCGGAGTTTTTTTTTTAAATAATATGCTAATTAGAACTTCCCTACTTATCTCGAATATTTAAAAATTAAACTATTAACTAGTTTAAGAAATTAAGACATTAATAAACTTAAGAAATTAAACTTAAACCATTTTGGTTACGAGCTATCTTTTTGTTTTAAACACTATTCTCATAATTTAATTTCTCACGTGAATGTAGTTTGCATGAGCGAGCAACTTGCATGCAAAGTTCCTCTGCATCTGTTAGCTTTTACAAATCGAGCACTTCTCAATTTCAGATGTTTTTATATTTGACTTGCAGTTTTTTTATTACTGGAAACGAACAGCCATATTAATTGACGTACATGTTGTTCCATTTGGCAAATAAAATTGAAAGCAAAATCATGCCAGCAACAGTTTTTTAATCAATAAACAAGCAATCAACACATGTTTCTGTTTTCTGGATATTGCTTGAACCAATTGCTTTTCCAAAGTGTGTGTTACACAGATGTGCTTTTCTACTCTACTTCCGAAAGACAATTTGACCAAGACCGATTCTCTGTTGCAATTACTATTCCGTGTTCAGACGAAATGTACATAGTCGAAGACACCTGTTTTCTGTGGAAACAATACTGATTTGCGGTTTCAGAACAGCTGTCTGACTATGGAGCCTCTTTGGACTCCTGGACCTTAGACAGGAGCTTCAAAATTCCACTCAGTCCATGAAGGATAGCTGTGAGCATCACCGGCTGCTGAATAAGTGAACTCGTACAGCTTGGAATTAGCTTAAAGACTTACAGTTTCTACCTGGAAATCTGATTGAATTAACGGACGACGATGAGGATTGTCCAGCGTGGAGCTTGAATCAATTAAAAATCTAAATGTTTCGATGAACTTCTTAACTTAATTTGCATGGTCATGGAATTTCTAAGTGATATAAAGTCTAAAGACATTGTACGACAACTATGAATTGTTAATTGGTAACTTATTGATGTGAATGATTGAGTGAATCTCGAGGAAGAATGAAACTTCAGAATTTAAAGTCTTTTTATTGAGAAATTGGTTTGATATATAAGATAAATCAATGTAAGTGAATTGAGAAGAATCGTTGAAAACGATTATATAATCATTGAGACTTCGCGACGATTCATGTGAATGTACGTTTTCCTTCCTGCTCCTCTTAATGAAAATCATTTCGAAGATACTATAAAACTATAAAAAACGACTAATCAGCAGAATTCAGAAAGTTGAGAAATGAAAATATGTTTTACGCATTTGAAACAGAACTTGCAGGAAGCAGATTCAATATATTCCTTTGTATCCTTGTGCGAAAAGTATCAAGATTTAAAAGTTAGTGCAAAAGAAAACAATTTTTGTGAAAAGAATTGTAATAAACAAAATATTTACGGAGGCAATTCAGGCCTGAGGAAGGAAGATAAAATAAAGTTTAAAGAATCAAAAGATTTTTAAATACGCTGTTTCAAACTGTTATAGAGGCGTTATCAAAGCTTTCAATAATAAAATTTTTCAAACAGAGGATTTTCGCCAGGTGTCTGTTACGCTCTCTTTATAAATCATAGACTGACTACTGTGACAAAAGATATATATATATATCTTGTGTCGTATTTTTAAGCTTTCGTCAAATGGCCAGGGTAATTAGTTGTAAGGCTAACTACATAATTAGTGGATGCATCATCGCTTGTGCGACTTTGTAGCTGTGCGTTTTTTTAAAATGTAAATAAATTATCGTGTCGACATCTATCCTCCCTGATGCATTTCTCTTCTTTTCTTTTTGGAAAATTGTGCCTGTTTAAAAAAAAAAAAAAAAAAAAAAAAAAAACAGGTGATACCTTAATAATTACAGATACTTAGCAATTATTATTAAATATTAAATATTAATTTTTAAAGTAGCCTTAGTGAATAAAATTCTTTCTTAACAAGTATATATTATATATACATGTACATCGTTCTCTAAATAATTTTTATTGCCACCATAAATGTACAAAAAAACACGTCCTACAAAGTACAAGTTCGTAACGTTTTTCGAAATTGGAACGTCCATAATTTTCGTTTCTTTCGCATTTTTGTAGATCTCGACCAACGTAAGACAACATTACACTCACTACGATCCCACACGTAAAAACCCACATTTATACAAACAGTTTTTTAGTGTTACGAATTAAAGCTACCAGGTATAATATTTCACGAAACCTTTGCACGATGAAAGTTGGCGTTTCGAAAGAATATTCTGTCGTTGACTATTGTGACGCTGACGTGTAGATCCACACTGACAGGACGGATTTCAAAGTCTGTTTCCTCGTCGTCACCTTCGAAAATTTGCCTCTCTCCGTGCGCGAATTGACAGTGAGGTACGATAATAAATAACTTCTGCGAAAGCAGGTGTAAAAAATGATATTCTACGGTACAACGACTATCACAGACAGGTTTCGAAAGCACCGATTAGAGAATGCTTCCCAATAAATGTACCAGACTCGCGAAAGTAGACTAGAAGAAGAGAAACGTAAACTATTGTGTCAGAGAATGAGAGAGAGTGCATTGATCAGGAAACAAATTTCTCAGCCACCCTCAGTCACCCACGTTGAATGAAAACGAAACAGAGGGCACCGAATTTGAATTCGTGGCTCGCGATCGTGATTCGTAAGCGTACTACGAGCTGATTGAAAATCATTCTGGGGACACTTGATCGTGTCACTGTTGCTTAAAAGTGACAAATGCGTTTAACAATATTATCAAAAATCGTTAATAGATATTGTCTGCGTGAGTAAAAATAGAGCTCTCGTTCGCAATTTCGTACGGAGAAGATCATCGTGTTTCACTAATAATGATCGAGAGATTTGGTACCAAAATGGCGCCCGAATGTTTCGACGAACCCTCTCAGAGGGTCAGTTATAATCGAAATGATCAGTTCTCTTCTCTTTACGTGTAAACGTCGAGTTGCTCCTCGCCTCAGTAATTGAGCAATTAAAACTCGTCGTGGAAACTTCTCTCGGTGTCCACCATCTTGCTGCCGAGGAACAGGTCCATTTTGCTCAGTATCTCCGACAGATTCAACTTCCCGTCGAGGTTCGTGTCCGACACGCTTATCAAGTGTTGGGCCTCTTGTATCGCGTGCCTTGGATTCCTCGGGTCTATGTACATCTGGACACATTCGATTTCACAGTTTTATTCAAATAATTAAAAATGTGTCTTTCCCAAATTATTTTGTTCGATATTATAAATGTATATAAAATGTATGTGTATATAAAATTTATATTTATAAATTATATATGTATTTTAATAATATCTATATATTATTATCTATATATTATATCTATATATTATTATTAAAATGTATTTAATAATATTTTAATAATATTATTATTGATTATTAATCATTATATTATTTTAATAATATTATTAATAATATTATTAAAATATATATTGTATATTAAATAATTAATATATATATATTATATTTAACTTAAAATATATTTTAATAATATTATAATATTATATTAATATTATATCTATATATTATTATTAAAATGTATTTAATAATATTTTAATNAAATATATTTAATTTTATATTTTACATTATTAAAATATAAATATATTTTATATATTTAATAATAATATAATATAATATTATATATATTAAATATAAATAGTATATAATATAATAATACAAAATATAATATTATTATATAATATACAGTACATTTATATTTTATACATTTAATAATAATATAATATAATATTAAATACAAATAATATATAATATAATAACAAAAATATAATATTATTATATACTATACAATACATTTATATTTTATATATTTAATAATAATATATTTTAATATATATATTTTAATTAATATATAATAAATTATATATATATATATATATATATATATATATATATATATATATATATTTCAAATTATATATATATATATATATATATATATATATTTCAAATTAAATACATATATATAATTTGATGTCTGTAGATGTACATTAAACAAAGAAATAGGAAATTTTCATATCGTTACCAGAAGTTCCGTTCTATCCGCTTTTCCATCCTTATTCTTGTCAATGAGATGTCTGAACTCCTTCCGCCTGTCGTCACTTCCGCCCACCGCTTCACGTCTGTCTTCCTTCAGGTCTAGACCCACCCCCTCCGAGGGTAGATCGGAGAACTCGTCTTCCGTCAGTTGTTCATCCCCATCGCGATCTGAGGGCGAAAATAGTAGATGAAAAAATCTAACATAACATAGATTATTATTACATGATTGAAAAATATATCGGAGACAAGAGTGATCAAAAATCAATCGAAAATAATTGGAATTAGAGAACAACGTAAACAAAAAATATTTTAAATGATTAATCGATAATTAGATTTCTCTAGAAAACGTAAATAATTTGTTCCGCGACGAATATTGTTGAAACAATACACTAAGAAAATGGCAAAAGTCGTAAAAACTTTGAAATGTTCTTTCGCAAAGTTGAGAAATTACGTTTATCGAACTGAGAGTCGAGAGGTTCGATTACCGAATTTTTCAAACAGGTCCTCGACCATTTGCAGCAGAGCCCTGTGACTGCTCTCAGGGTGGGTGAAAGCCAGGAACTCGTCGAGCTCGAGTCTCTCCGGATCGTTTCTAGCCGCTTCCGCCCATCTAGCTCTGTCTCTCATGATGCTCTCCTTCAACGTGCGCGACATGTCGCTGTGCTTCTTGTCGTGCGAGCTCACATAACTCTCGGGGAATCCGTGGGATCTGAGAAAGTGCGCGTGATACTCTTCCCATGAGACCTCGCCTGAAAGTTCACTCGTTCAATTTCCCTTTTCCCTCTTGTTTCTTAATGTCTACCTATTCGTTTCAATTAAAATTAAGAAATTTGGGATCTCGAACAATTTCGTTGCAATGATTTTAATTCTAATAACTTCTTGAATATATTGTCCCATTATTTTCTCTTTCCTTTTTTTTTAAATCTATACTCGTCTCCGCAACGAGAGTAGAATAATCTTTCCTTCAAATTCGTACGCTCAAACATCAACTGATTGCGGACCATAACGAGCGACCACGTCCATTGCAGCGCAAGAGATTACAATTAATCGAAGAACAGATCGAGCGTCGAATCGAAGTAACTCACCGTTTCGCGGGTTGTTATCTATAGCAGTGAACAAGCCAACGTTCTCTTTCATAGCTCGGCTGATGTGATCCGTGATCTTCGTGTGAATCCACTTGGCCAACTCCTGGATGTCCAACAGCCGGTCCTCGTTCGTGTCAGCTCTTTGAAATATGTTCTCCAGCAAGGTCCGCGGGTTCTCCTGGTTCTCCGCTTCCTCCGCGTCCTTGATGCCTCGATCGATCTCTTTGTAATGCTCCAGATCCCTCTTGTCCGCCGTCACCGCCTCCAGCTCCATGAAAAGATTCTCGATCACCAGGCCTTTGTCATCTTGTTCGGCGGTGGTGGACGCGAGGCTCCTCAGAGGCGCGTCCCTGTTGTACTTGAAGACGAGCAGCGACAAGTAGATGACTGGAGGCACCAGGATGGTCCAGCGGAGGAAACGGAAGCATCGCAGGTCTGACTTGAAGGTGATTTTGTGCACCTGCGGAAGGACAATGCCGAGACAAGTGATTGGCGAGCAAAGGTGAAGTTTCAGATTGAAAATTTTTCAACTTTCTGGCCCTCGCGCCGACTACTAGTGGAAGAGTGGTTTTTGTTAGGAAGAAAGTAAGCCACAAGTGTAGATTTTATTCTTTGGCTTTCTCAGGTTTCCTTGGCACTTGTCTGGAAACTTCAGAGACTCGTGGCTTCTGAAGAAATATATACTAGAAGAGGGATTTTGTCCATTGATCTCTTGCCAGAGAAAGGGATTTCCTCTCAAAACAAAATATTTGAAATTCTTAGACCCAAAAATTGTTCAAAAATTGTAGAAACAACATTGAAACACTGATTCTACAATCCCTATTGATGAGTTATTATATAAAGTTAGTGAGTTAGTAAGTATCCTTACTTTAATTTTCTAATAAGAAAAGGAAGACAAGAGGAGACTGCGTAACAATACTCACAAAATAGGAAAGATTCATGGCTGGTTCTCTCTCTTTACAGCACAAAACCACCGTGCATCGCTGTACAGTTTCAAAACTGGAATCTTCCCATTCCTCTACGCGTAACGATCAATCATCATTATTTTAACTATCTGTCCAGCCCCATGTGAACCATCTCTGACAATGCTGCTCTCACCAACAAGTAACAAATCACGATTCTGTCACTCACAGGCCCTTTTCTCACCGTTGAACACCGCTCTCGCATACAGCGACACAACACCGTGGATACTCATGATTCACCACGCATCAACAAACGTAGTTCAGCGTAGTTTAATGACAACAATTCTGCAATTCTGCGACTCGGTGCTCGCGCACTCGGAACTTGGCGGAAAACACTGAACAAGAAAGGAGCAGAAATTAGGCGCACAATGAGGAATAATTCTGGTGTAATAAGGGGATTTACCGCACGAGGTCTGTTTGTTGCACTAATAGCTCTTTGTTCTTTAACAACAAAAAACGCGAGTCTCGAAGAGGAGAACTCCGGCAGCACGCTGCCTGGCGTAACGTTAACAGCGTATTGATCCACTTTCACTCGTGTCGTGTCCTTTCTCTCTGTGGCTTTCTCTCTCTCTCTCTCTCTACCTTTCCCTCTCTCTTCTCGCTATAGCTTTCTCTGTTCCACTTTCGTGCCGTTTGCGTCACTGTTCCTCTAATCGCAGAAAGGTATTCTCCATCTTCTAATTAGAGTGGCGGTAACAAGAGAGTAACATTGGTCTTCAGGTTCTTCGTTGGACCAATCTCCGGTTTTTCTTGGTCCCTTTTATTTTATTTTCATGTATTTTAATTTGATGCTTTCACGGAGAATTTCCAAATACGTTTCTTTGATTAATTAACAGATGATTAAAAACGATCTTCCATGACATTTGGCTTTCATCTTCTTCATTTGAACTTACAACTTGCAGAGAAGAAAGAGAGAAGAAAGTGGGGAGGGGGAGGGGGGGGGAGAAAAGGGAAGTGACAACTCGCAAATACAATAAAGCCATTTACTATATCTCTCTTATGTACAAATAGTTTATCTAGAATTGTAGAGGCATGCTCATAAAATGTATATCCGTATATTCTCAGCTATTTAAATATCCGAGACGATGAAACGAAGTACAGATCCGCAGTCAAGTGAAAGAATGATTTTTTTCATCTTCTCACGGTATAAAAAAGAGAAAAAAAAGGAAGAAGAGAAGAAAGAAGTAAGAACAGACGACGAGGGGAGAAAGAAAAACCATTCCCATTGAGTTGACAAGGCGTTGAGAGGGAGATTCTTGAACGAATCGTCGATGTTTCGCGCGAAAGAAGCTCCTCGGGGGGCGAAAGTGGTGCTTGAAGAGCTGAAGAAAATGTATAAAAATCTCCCCGTGATACTGTCTGTCTCGTCTGAAGGCAAAAGGGAAAGATTGCGCTCGTTGACAAACAAACAGACAAAACGGAAGATTCTGATTTAAAAAAAAACAAGTAAATAACTTCTCGAGTTTAGACCGGAGTAGATCCCTTCAGGGCCGGAAATAAAAGATACTACTAAATAAAATTATTTCTTCAAATATGATACAATGACAATCCTCAAATATACAAGTGTAGAATGACGAAGAGCAAAAATCCCTAACAATTGATTGTCAATTACTAAAATTCTCGCCCACGAGAGAGCTTCTTGTTCAGGAATGGTTGGAATTGGCAAGACAAGATAAGTACTATATCAACTGGCGCCATAAATAAACTACCCTACGCAATTTCGAGTCGCCTCCTGGCAAGGAGTCTTCTCTGAATATTCATAAATAGTCTCTCTAAATCAGTAAGGTCCTCTTCCTTCATCTCTAACTAAACACTAGCGACGTTATCATCTTTTATTCTTTAAACGCTACCCTTCTGTTTTCACGGATAACGAAACTAAAAAGTACTTTCATTCGAGTCTTAAAGAACCTCTTCACCTTCGCTCATGCTTCGTTCTGCCCTATTTCACCTTGTTATATATTGGCAACTGATTGGTTCTTACTTGTACTCCTCTCAGTTGCCAGTATTTTGGTTGCTCTTTCTTCGAGCCTTCGTGCCAAGTATCCAGCATTCAGAACAAAGCAATCTACCATCGTACTTCACGAACTTAGTCTAATGCTAAGAGAATGAATTGCGGGGACTTGGCAAGGAAACAGCAACGATCAATCATCCACGAGTGGATCCCCAATCGACTCACTATCTTGTAAGTTTCCGCTATTAAAAACTAACACGTAGACATTTTCTAGTGCAGTCAGCGCTCAGGTTTTCCCTAACTGACTACAGAGGACAACCTTGAAGAAATAAAAATAAGCGCCATGAAACTGTCGCGATTAGCAACTACTGCGTTTCAAACGAGCCCTCTAAAATGTTCCCAGACGGTTTTCTAATGTAATTTCCACCATCCGGAGCAACCTCTGGTTCACAGAATCTCTTCCAAGTGTACAGTGGATACCGAACCGGTGCTGTTCCTCATGTCTTTTGACTCTTGGTACTTTCTGCCTGCGATTTCTCATCGTCCAGTTCCAGGCCAAAGTTTGTGATACCGTGGACGTTGTTGGCGTGCGGTTTTGTCTGTACGTGGAACATTGAAGCGATGGGCGGACTCAGGAGGTCCTGGTCTAGGTCCGCCGGGTTCTGAAAACCCGTGAAGAAACTCACTCCCACGCCTATCAACATTGTCAGGATACAACCGATCGCAGTATACCACAGATAACTGATCTGGAAATAAAAGGGGAAAGGGAAACGAATTTTTATTGAAGATATAAAGAGGAAAAGCTGGTGATAACTGAAATTGCAACAATGTTGTAGTAGATACCTCGTATATGGAATAAGCTTCACCGTTGTTGCCATTTGAATCATTTGAGATTATGTCTGTGGTGTTAATGCATGGACAAGCGTTAACTGACACTGGTTTGTTATCTAGGTGAATTTGGCCATTTAAGGTGGCAATTTGTGCTCCAAGACCAATCCAAAGGACAATTACTAAACTGGCAATGGCACCGGTAATCGCTCCTTTGGCATTTGCCCATGGCACGAACATGCCCAATGAGAATAATCCCAGCGTAATGCCACCGACCATGCCATTGAATGACAGGGCAACCTGCAAAATTCATTTTCATCCACCGTGACGTTACAAATTCATAAGAAAGTTACTTTTATTGTCTGAATTGAAGAGAAAGATGATTTCTTAAATTTCATTAAAAGAAAAAGAAATGTTACGCAGGAGTTTTAAGAGAAAAGAATAGTTTATGAGAAGGTTAGTACCTGAAGAACACTACCAAGACGTTCCACGACGAAGACCAAAGCAAAGCTAAGCGCTCCAAAAAAGATACTAATCCATCTAGCATAAATTGCTCCTTTTCTTGCTGGCATCTCCATTTTGAACAATCCCTGAAGGATATCTTCGCAGGTTATGGCTGCCAGAGAGTTGAGAGCGCTTGCTACGGTTCTGCAAACATTTTTCAACCCATGTTGCTTTCACTTTGCGATTATTAATACTATGAAAATTAAGAAGCCTAACAAAGAAACTCTATGAAATACTATGTTAAAAATTCAATCACTTATGAAGGAGATGTTCTTTTATTCAAGGTAGTAATTGTTCAACACACCCTAAAGAGGCAGCAAAGATCCCAGCAACAAAGAACCCAGGCACTCCTTTTAAGCTACCCATGAAATTCATAACGTACAATGGCAACAACTGATCCTGGCCGCTTATATAGTCAGCCAGGAGAGGATCACAGTCTTTGTACGTGCTGTAGAGCACCATACCGGTCAGAAAGTTCACGGTGTATATTATAATCATGCCAAAAGCTGACACCCATAACGCTCTGAAATAAACATGAAAATTAAAACAACGTAGAACCGAAGATATACAATGGAGGATATCCTGGTATTTGGTAAATTTTGAAAATACTCACGTTCTAACTTGGCCAATGCTTTCTACACTGAGGTACTTTTGGACGGAAGCTTGATTGCTGCAGAACATGCTAGTCCAGTAAATGGTTCCACCAATCACCACGCTCCAGAAACTGTGCCTGACAGTTGGACTGGGATCCATGTTGAAGAACTCCATTCTGTCTGATTGCTGGTTGACTTGCCACACCAAGGAGAGCCCTCCTTCCCAAAAAAGGCCGTACCCGACAATCAGAAAGAGGGAGCCAAGGAGCACCGCTGCTTGGAACGTATCTGTCATTATGACAGCCTTCATTCCACCCTGAATCGAAAGAGGATGAACACACTTCTTTAGTTTCTGAAGGAACGATTTAGCAAAAAAACTAGAAATTAACATTTCAGAGAAGAGAGTGAAAGATTTGGAAGTAAAAGGCGAAAATTTTTGAAGAAGGAAGAATAAAAGTGCTTTAGAAGTCAAGAATGATTGACCTCCGCTTATTTTTCAAGTCTTCAAAATGTCCCAAATTGTAAGGATTGAAAGAACATCAAAGAACAAAGGAAGAAGACAAATATTCTTCCAAAGAAAGGGAACGAGAAACACGTATCTTCGAGTTAATTAAGACAATACCTGCGATGCGTAGAAGATACAGACTACGTAGACTAGAGTGACGGCTATATAAGTATTGAGGCCCGTGACTGTAAGAAGAGAAGGCAAGTTAATCAAGGGAATGGACGCAGATTAATTGAGCCGAGTCGCGTTTCACCGTTGCTCACCGTGACTTAAAGCTAACGCTGGCGCGTATACGGCCACAGACGTGTAGAGTATCATCTGCAGCATGTAAAGGCCGCCAGCGAGCAGTCTGCAATACTGGTCGAAACGAAGATTAAGGTACTCGTAGCTTGAGGTTAATCTCAGCTTCATGTAAACCGGCAGGTACAGACAGGAGGTAATGGGCACAACCAAGATGAAGGCCAGGCATGTCATCCAGAATTGAGTGCCCTGGAATTTTTTAAACGTCTTGACATAAGGAAATAAGAATCTTACAAATCAATGTATCGCATTCAAAATTCTTTTTTATTCGGACGTTTTGAAGTTCTTCACGAAAAGCAATGGAACACATGAGAAAGATAATGACGTCACGTCGAATTTTAATAAATATAAATAAATTAAATGACAAGTAATTGATTAATAAATTAATTTGTGTAATATTGTTATAAGCTACTATTGCCACAGCCCATCTTACAGAACTGTTTGTCGTTTGAGAAAAGATCATACCTGTTCGTACATCTCCGCAGGATTCCCCAGAAGCTCAATAGCTGTGATGAAGCTGGCTGCCAGTGACATTGCCATAGGGAATGTTCCCATGCTCGAGCCACCGAGCAGGAAGTCTTGGCTGGTTTCCTGCTTCTTTGAGAAGAAGCCATAGAAAGTGCCAATCAGGCACGAAATTATCAACATAGCAGCCAACACCATATAGTCGGCCCATGAGAAGTAATGGAGGAGAACAGGATGGTCCTCCATACATTTTTCTTTTACATCCTCGGACGGTCGCTGTTCCGCTGAAGAAATCGCCAGGAAGAAGAATAATACCAAAACACGTGACCTCATGTTTCGTGAGCTTGAACAGAGACAGAGAATTCCCCTGTGGATATGAGTCGTGAAAAATTTAGAATTAGAAATCTTGCATTTAATTGGATCTTTCGAATGAAACTGGAGGTCAGGATATTTTTGTATAAATCTCATCTCTTAATTTTGAATATCTGATGTTTGGGATATTAATTTATTATTTAGTCATTGTATCTTATATCTTCATTTGTCAGAAGAAGAAATGTGTTTATGGATTTATAGAAATTTCTTTCTCTCTTAACTTTCATAGATCTTTCTTAATTTAATTTATCTAAGTTCTCTAGAAATCTTTATAAATTCTGCGGATTTTGTAATTTTTATAAATTTCTGCAGACTCTCTAATTTCTGACACTAAGAAGAAAAATGATTTTCTACGTTAATTAATCATAAAGGAAATTTGTATAAAAGTAGAATTATGATAATACAGGAAATGCTGCGAACAAAAATAATCGAGGAAAATGTGACATTCATCGTCCTTGAAGATATATATATTGATATCTTCCATGGATCAAGAATCACGTGAAAGACACACGATCTCCACGTTATATGATTCGAATTTCGTATCGTTTTACAGATCTCCGACAGATTGTTACAAGCATGAACAACAGCTGATTACGATTTTTGAAGAAGAATCCCAATTAATTGGAGAAATTACCAAAATTCTCTTCTATTCGAATCTTTGCCCTCTGAAGATTCCGAAGGAGAATCGCGGAAAAAAGTTTCCACGAAACGCTATCATTAAAATTCTACAACCGGCGAAGAAAAATAATTTTCAGCAGAAACTGCAGAAATTTTGCAATTTAATTTTCCAAAAGCGGAAAAGAATTGTCAAAAGAGTTCTCCCCAAAGTATCGTCTCTCCCTCTGATGTTCAAAAGTGTCTCAAAGCGAATTACATTTTTCTGTTTCATTTTTTTGTAGAGCCACACCGTCGAGATCTAATCTAAACACCGTGATAGCTGAGATCGATCCAGTATGAGCAGAGACACAGGCCAGAATGAACTCGGTGGTCGTTTAGTCAACTGAGTTCTTTCTTACATAATCAAAAGTGTAACGCACTGTGCTCTTTGGTTGCGAATGATGCGATTATTGGATATATATCGTGCCCCACCATTCGGTGTAATTGTTTAGAAGGATTTGCACCGTAGTTGCGGCTATTAACACCGGCATTCGATCATCATTAAGAAATCTGGTTGACTCTGGCTAGAACCAGTTAATTCAGAGTCGAACTGGTCCAGTTTGTGCAAACTCGTGAGGAACATCTGAACAAGATAAATAACATCTTTCATTATATACGTCTGAGCTGTACTATCCACATGAAACTTCTCCACTGTTCTTTAAACAGTATAGAATGACACCTTCAAATAAATTTGTCGTGTCTCATCTTTTTAAATATTTCCTTTAATTTTGGTGATTTCCGTGCCTTCCTGTTTTTTTAATTTGGAAACATTCAGTTGCTGTGTTTTGACTGTTTATCAATATATTTGTCTTCCTCTCTTATTCTTTTATTTTTTAATTAAAAAAGAATAATATGAACAGCAAATGTAATCAGTAGTATAAATACTTACAGCTTTTTCTTTAGAAAAAAATATTAGAATTGTTTTGGCCACTCTTTCATCAAAATCAAGTGTCAATGCTGAATTATGATTAAAATACATTTCTTCCTTAATTAAATAAAATCTTTACCACTGAGGAAAATAAGTTTGATTTCCTGATCTTTCTTAGCTAATCTAATATTTCACTGTAAGAATTTCTAAATATTAAAGGAATTGAATATTTAATGAGGAAGATGTGGAAAATAATGACGGAGCATGATAAAACACGAGAAGGTGAAAAACTGGCCTTGGTCAATTAGCCAGCTTACGAACTCGAGCAACAACGATGATGCGAGACAACAGATTGATTTAAGAGCGTGGACAGGTGCGATTGTCGTCGGAATCTCAATGGGGAAACAAAGCTCGGACTACAATTGTAATCCATTTGAGAGTTAACAAGCGGAAGCATAGAGTTGCCTTTGAATAATTGCAAAGCGAGCCAGATATGCGTGAACATTATTTACCTACTATACAGGACGAAATAATATCCAGTCATTTATTTTCTTCGTGGTTCCTCGTTTCGAGCAATTTATCAAGATGTTGCAGGATGTGCAACATTCTCCTAAATGAAAATCTTCGTACATTTTTCTCGACATTTAGGAATTTTCGGTAGATTTCCCTGATTTCTCTAAACTATTTTTATAAATCTCATTTTAGGGTATCTTCTAATTTTATATTTTCGTATAAAATTTCTCTCTTTTTGCTTTGTGATTTTCCAATTTTCTGTAAATCTTTTGCCGAGGTATTCATGGCAGTAATTGAAAGACATTTTGGAATATTCTTGTTTGATGAATGTTTTCTCAGGAGGAGGAAGATTAAATTTCATGAAAAATGTGAAATGCTTCAAACTTACCCAGAAACGTCAACAACCACTCAATTTTCGACAAGAAACTGCAACTGCAAACTTTCCTGAAATTTCTGACACATTCAAGAACGACGTATAGAGAGTATCTTCAGAAGCTTCAAGATCAAGAACTACTACGAACTATTGAAACTTCAAGATGTGTTTAAGAAGTTTAAAGTACTCTCGTTGAACAGTTGGTCTTTTTCTAGTGGGACTGTGCTACTTGAGAAAGTATCTACTAAAAGCTTTATGACCTTAACAACTTCTTCATTTCTTTTCTTTAACAGCTTTGGAATATCCGAACAAAATCCATCTAGCCTTTTAGCCAAAGCTCTTTGCCAAAAGTTCAAGAATAACAAGCTCTCGAGATTTTATCGTCTAACGTCTTTTTTATCTTCGAAAAAAATCTACTTCCCCAATCTCACTGAATACATGTAATCAGTACTTAAGAGAAACCACTCCAGATAATGAAGAATCTTCAAAATCAGATTGCACCCTTCTTCATTTCACTGGAATCAGCGAATACTTCAAAAAAGAAAAGCCATTCAGCTTCTAATACAGAGGAAACTTTCAAGATCCTTACTTTTCTACATGATTGAAATTCAAACTTTCATTTTCCAAAATTAAATCTTCCTTCTCCACTTTAATCAAATCTTGATAGTTGATCTTGAAAGTTATCAGTGTTAAAGTTACCAAAACAGAATCTCACCTGTTTAAAAAAAATACTTCCAGATAACCCAATCGTGGCCCAAGCGTTTCCAACGTCAAGGAACAAGAAGAAGAAGAGGAAGAAGAAGAAGAGAAGGAGATTATACAGAAGAAGAGTGTGAAGATAATTAGCGCGAGATGCTAATGGTGTCCGGTGGCCGGTAGGAAGGTACGAAATTGCAGCTGTATGATCTTGCTGCTGGTCTTCCTGACGTAACGCATATATGCTCGGGTTTTTTGGCTGGCGATGGATCGAACTGACTGGCCAGAATGTACCCGAGTGGAATCGAAGAAGTCGCCGCGAGGGACCCTGGTCGATTAATTAATTAAGGACTCTCGGTTTCGCGCGCCTCGTTTGGAGCAGAGCCGACGGATTAACCGGAGAACGATTTCAGACTGTCGTTTTAATTGTCACATGTGTCCATTTATACGAACCAGCCCCTTCCAGGGCAGCGAGTTTCTTCCATTCCGCGGACTTATGGAAACGATACTTGTGACCACGGTAATTACATTGTTATTCGGAGGGTGACGTGTATTCAGAACTCTGAGCTGTCGAAAAAGAAAAGAAAAAAAAACGGAGTGAGGGTAGAATGTAAAATCTATAGAATTCTCTCTATGTTCGTTTTTTTATACTAATATCTTTAGTTAGAAAAATTTATTCTATTTCAGGACGAATTGGAAAAATTATTAATTGACTGTTAATTAGTGTAATTGTCAATTTGAAATTGTTTTAGGATGGAAGGAATAATATAGATTGCATTTCTTAAAAACTTGAGAAACTGACTTTAAGAATGGGATATAAATCTTTCAGATAATAAATGTTAATAAATTTCATATCATCTAAAACAAGACACGAATAAATGAGAAAGATGATATTTAATTTTAAGAATAATTTAAATATCTTCTAAGGTTTTCATGTGGCTGACGAAGATGTCCCTTCTCCTTTTTTTTCGCACTGTGAAGAATTTTAATTCAAAGATGTTAAAGAGAAGGGAAGTTTAACTGAAGAACATTTTCATGTAGCACGAGAAATAATTGAGAAAAGAATTTGGAAATCAGAAATTATGGAGAATACTACTACAATGATATCAAAAGAAAATGAAGATCAAATTTGGAAATATTGAATTATAGTTGCAGACAAAATGTAAGAATAAACAAAGAGAAAAGACTTCAAACTTAAAAATTTTGACATCCTGATGCTGCAGAAGAGATATAAGAAGAAATGAACAAAGCAGAAATTACGAAGAATTCCAATACCAAACACTAAAAAAAAAAAAAGCAAAGAAGATCATTTACATAGTCCTCTAAATAGTTATGTAGTTTAGAAACATCAGAAAGCATTAAAAAGAAAGAGGTCGTATTTAAAAAGGTGAAGAATACTAAACTATTATTTTCTCCATCTCTTCGCTTATTTTCATCTGTAAACTTACTGTTTTTATCTTCTTGTACTCCATAGCTTGCGTGAAACAACTCGCACTCAAGAACATACTTTATAAACAATATCAAGAGACACCATGAATGGTTGCAGGAGCAAACTCGCGGTTGCAATGGTTTCCGCGATAATGAGAGCTGATAAACTACCATTGCCTGCTCTATATGCTGAAGATTGGAACATGAAAAATCGACACTAACCAGAGTACACATGAAAACTATGTTTACAGTCAGTTGGAACGGGATCCAACCGGTTATCCATTTAAAGGGTTGTAAATCAACAATGTTCCTGAAAGTTCTCTATCTTCCATTTATATCATTTTCGTCATAATTAATGGACAGACTTGGCAAAAGATGAAGACGAAGAGTGAAGAGATATTAAAAAATTGGAATTGGAAGAATTAAGTATAATTAAAAAATTGGAGATATGTTTGAAAGTTGACAGCAAGGAAGGAAGAAATGTTTAGAAATTAAAAATTGGAAGAATTAGAAGACTCAAGTATGATTAAGAGTTGAAATTGATAATTCATTTGCGTCTATTTATATTATTTTTGTAATAAATAAAAAATAATAATTAGTAATGAAGAAGGAAGAAAAATTGGAATTAACAATTCCAAATTATAGATGATAATGTGTATTAAATTGTCAGGAAATTTGCAAAAAGATCTAATAAAAATAAAAATAAAGAAAATGACGGTCAATCTTTAATTAATAGTGAAGATAATTGAAGGTAACTATTGAAAAACTTTACGGTACATTGTCTGTTATTTAATTTATGAATTTTTCTCAATGAATCTATGATTTTATTGCCTTTCTCAGATCTAACTACAAAGCAGCATTAAAGAGAAATTAATATATATGCAGTTTACACAATTCTAACACGTGTCTTCACTAGAACAATAAAAAAGTGAATAGTCATCGTTTGATCATTTTCTCCACTGTAGATAATTCGAGGTAACTTCTTATTTTTACTTTAAAAAAAAATTCCCAAGTGTGGACAGAAATCCACAGAGGATTTCGATCATTAGTCAAACTTTGAAAAACACTATTAAGGTATTAAGAAAATATTATATCGAACAGAGACTGTGACTTGCAGTTTAATTTCGTAACTCGAATTTACTATAATTTCGAAATACACTTTCTTACTCTGTTTTAAAATACTAAACGTGATTGAATATTTCAGAATTTTCTATAGCTTAGGAAAATGAAACCTAAGTTAATTAATGGGAAGATGCGAAAGATTATTTATGACACAACACGATTCAATAAAATTCTCTTCCTTTACTGATTATGCTAATTCTACTGGGAACTATGACTCACGACAGATTGAGCAGCTACGCCGTTCATTGATGAATGAACACACGGAATTAAATAACACTACCAGTTGGTAATTGTAAATTCAGAATCGTCTGGTAAATATTTTCTCCAAAAATGTATCCTCAAAATGATTCAACAATGAATGACAATAAATTATACAGAATACATACTTTTCAAGATGTATGAAATATGGTAAAATATATTTAATGATTTAAAAATGTAAATGTCAAATGTGGAATTAATCTTCCATTGAAGAAGTATTTGAGGATACAAGAACATCCTTCCATTCGAGTAATTGATTTTTTCAAATTATGTAAAATCAATAGAATCTTTAAAATTCAAAATTAGCCTTCTTCTAAAGGCTACTACTGTAATTTAAGTGAAGATACGTTTTAATTTGTTAAATCAGTGGTGTCAAGATAAAGTCAGAAAAACTCACCCCTCAGTCAAGTAAATTTTCAATCCACAAATAATTAAAACAATGCTTCACTCTTGTGAAAATTGAATTTCAATTTCTCATACACGTATCAATACGCACCTACACACTACTATTTTAAATACACTATTCTATAGTCTTAATTTAGTCTAGTCTTAATTTAATCTATAGTCTTAATTTAGTCTAGTTAAATAAAATTCCTTGGCTGTCAAAACGATCGATACTAATTCTGTATAATTTCTATATTTTCTATATTTCCTTCCTTTCCTCGCATAATGCTCGCAATATCAACACAAGGAGACCGTTGACTTCAAAGGTGAACAGAAGGATCGTAATAATAAATAATATTAGGTTTCATGGGAAAGAGAGAATGGAAGAGGGAAATAAACAGAAGGAGATAAAAGTAAATACGGTATTAGGTACAAAATTTTAATTTAATCAAGTGATTTACCAAGTATTCATTTAAATAATCGCAATGTTGCAGCCTCTTTTTTTCACATTTCATTCATTAAAACCAGAAAAAAGTGTCCTTTGACTATTCTAATTTATAAATTAAAATAGTTAAAATAAATTCTAATTTGTAGATTCAAAAATTCTTGCACCAAAAATACTCAATATAATAAGTAAACTCATTTTTATAAATTGTCAAACAACACTATCTTTGATTTTAAAATTTCAAAAAATTGTTGTAAAAGAAATCTAAATTACTTAATAAAGTATTTGCTTATTTATTTTGCAATAATTTTCATCTGTACACTGAAATACTCAATAGGATATTGAACTCATTTGTTTGTAACAAAGCAAATTATTTATTGTAGCAATTGCTTATTGCGTTGTAAAAAATTTTATAATGATAAATCCTACATGCATTTAAGAGTAAATTCACGATGAATGCTACATTAAAAGTAGAACTAATTCTAGGGAAACTGAGTCTTTCAGAAAGCATAGGTCAACATAATTCGACACCTCGTTCGAAAAGAATGTCAGCTGAATTTCTTGATGGATTAATTGGCTGTTAAAGAAGTAGACGTGGAAAATGGCGGTCACAGTTTCGCTAGAAAAATAATTAAAAAGAGCCCAGTGCCGATCGAAGCGCGAGACATGGATAAATTGAAACTGGTTTTAACTGGCCACTGGTAGTTTGATCTGGGACTTGCTTCTCCCAAGAAGCACCTTAGAACCATCATCTTTCTTTCTACAGAAGCTTCCTTTCAAGTACATGTTGCCTACTTTTATCTCCCTTCCAAAGTTTCACAGCGTGAATTTTGTTAAATAGTTAAATTCATACTTAATTTCAGAAAAATTTTTCCATAGAAGAATATGACAAACTTCAGGGTGCAATTATATCTTATTTCAAGCTAATAGCCACATAAGTAATCCTTGAAAAGGACATGGAAAAAACTAGATTTTCCTCAGATTGTTTTATTCAAAGAAATAGAGGAAGTTGAATAAGAAATCAAAAGCTACAAATTTCAGTTGTTTTAAGTAAGTTCATCAAGTCAAACAATAAATTCCTCCTGCTTGATTGCCTTACTGTTAATTGTAATTACTTGATTCTTCATTGGATAAACAAGAGGAGAGACTGGAAATAATTGTTGCTAGTCTTAGCATTGTTTTCACTCACGCATACACATTGTTTTATTAACTCTTGTTACACAGTACAGTAAGGCTTGGATAAATATATTATTACATTTTACTGACCGATATAGCCATAGTACCGACATAGCCACCACACTAGCAAACTCATTATAAATTTAAAAAGTTACATTCTACGAATACGTTTCGCAAAGTGAGTTACCCACAAGACACTGTATATTGAATTATTTCATATAAAAATATCTTTTGGTATTCAGAGGTAACTAAAATATAGTCTCTTTTGATAACAGAGTATCATTATGTAAGTACATATGTGCAGTGACAATTTGTAATGCAAATTATGTGCAATGACAATTTGTAATGCAAATTATGTGCAATGACAATTTGTAATGTAAATTATGTGCAATTTGTAGTGTAACACAATAGTGTAATAATTTTCAAGTGAAAAAAATTATTCTTGTTCAGTTAAAATACAAAAAATTAGACTTGCTCTTTCTTACATTTTCGAAAAGCACAATTCTATAAAGTATTTTGTACAATATTTTTAAGAGTGAATGTGTTAAGTATCTATATTGAACGGATTGAACAGATCTGTGAAAATTCTTTAAAATAAAAGAAATTTCACTTGATATTCCAAAAATTCATATTTCACGTGATATGTGAAGCAAACTAATTTGCTCATACATACTCAAAAAATCTTTTCACTTAATCGTACAAAAATTACAAAACGGCAGTTTAGGAACAAGATGGAAGACATTCGCATAACAGTGTAACATTATCTATATAACAAACAAATATGATTCAATTTAAAATATCAGCAAACACCTTGATACATTTTTATAATACAATATGTCCAAATGATCAATTTTTCAACTCAACTGGTTCAAGGTTAAAATTACTTCTAACATTTTAACAATAGACAATATTCATTTCATTTTTCTCAAAGCCAAACAACAAACAAGTTAAATTTTATAGTACAAATATTTAGAAACTTTTACAATATAAATAAATATTCTTTGGACATATATTTGTTCTCTGAAGGAATAATTAATTAATTTGTTCTTTTAAGTTCCATCCAACTTACGAAATACGGAATGTTTAGAATCTAAAATGCTACTTAACTGATTAACTAAATATGTATTAAAGTTTAGTAGTATTAAAATAGTTCGACGTTTCCGCATCGTTAGCCGAATTTATGTTGAATATGTACTTTTTAGGCGCGCTTTCATTCTTTGATATCACATTCTCATCATCATCGAAAATGCTTTCATTTCTACGACGTATACGTTTCCCTATTATAGGGAAGAAGAGATTGTGATCTACCTTGATTCTTTGTTGTTTAGATATTCGGTTCAAGCAGTAGCTAAGACCTAGTCCAATGATGAATGTCATCAAAAATCCAAGCGGAGCATACCACATGTAAGAGATTCGATAAAGATAGAAGTAATCATGCGATTCCCTTAAGAAAGAAAGACGTTATTCCATTATAAATTTGTTTCTTACTTTGAACTACAAAAGTTAGAAGTTAGAAGTTATTCCAAAGTTAGAAATTTATTGCTTACGATGACACTTGTGAGGTAGAAATGGTTACATTTGGACAACCAACATCAGTAACTGGTAGCGTTGGTGGACTAGGTCTGGGTTGTCCAAAAGCAATCCAAAATAGAAATGCTAGAGACACAACAGCACCTATTACAGATCCTGTTTCTGAGGCTGTTTCTGTGAGCATTCCAAGAGTAAAAAGGCCTAATAACGGGCCACCTACTACTCCAAATATTGTTAAGCCAGCCTGTAATATCAAAAACAATCTTCCTCTGAATGAAATCCTGAAAATATTTTGTAATACTCCTATGATAAAGTAAATTAAAAAAAAAAAAAAATACCTGCAAGACACCACCTAATAATTGTGCCAAAAATGCCAAAGCAATAGAAATAATTCCATAAAAAAAGGCAAGTAATTTGGCTACAGTTGTCGACATGGTTAGAGAAATTTCCTTGCCGCAACATTTTTTATATGCTGGTTTCAAATAATCTTCTAATGTTACTGCTGCCAATGAATTTAATGCCGCTGAAATAGTGCTGAGACCACCACTAAAAATACCTAAGCAAAAAATATGAGAATACGATAGCTTAAAGTTCTTAACATGCTTTTATCTATTAAAGTATATACTTCTGATGATATTCAAAGAATGGAATTTATGTTGAAATTCTGTTTGTTTAGGTGTGTTACTATATTCAAAAGTTATAAATTCTACCTGCTATAAAAAGACCAGGTAAACCAGGCTTGTCAGACATAGTATCCATGACATACAACGGCATCAGCATATCAGTCGATGTTATTCTCTTTTGAAGCAACGGATCACATTTGTAATATTTACTATATATTGCTAATCCTGAGAAACACGTAGTTATTGAAAGTGTTGTCAAAATAGGCCACGATATCCAAAGTGCTTTTTGTGCTGCTTTTATATCTCTAAAAATATTATATAAATTAATAACATTTCTTCTCCATTTATTCGTAATAACTTACTTCACTGTTAGTAGACGCTGCACTTGAACCTGATTTACACCATACAATGATAGAAACGTGCATAAACCTCCAATAGTGAGCGACCACCAAGTATGTCGAACTGTGGGATCTATCGAAACACTTGGAAAATATTCTACAATTAATTACTCGAAATTAAGATATCATTTATCATCGTGACATGTATCATACCTGTCGAATTCAATTCTTCTTCCTTCTTCTGCTATCTGCCAGATTTTGCCTATACTTCCAGCTTCAATAGCAGCTGTAATAATGATAACAAAGACAGAAACGAACATCAACAATCCTTGAAACACGTCTGTGATCAGGACGGCTTTGATGCCTCCTATGCTTGAATAGAAGGCGCAAACTAAGCCTATGATAATAATGCTGCCAGTTTTAGAAATTCCTGTTGTTGCCTCTAATGCTAAAGCAGGAGCATAAAGTACAACACCGGAATACAAAAGCAGCTGCAGCCAGTACACAAAACTAGCCACCATCCTAGCTTTTACTCCAAAACGTTTTTCTAAGTACTAAAAAGAAAAGAAAAAAAAAGTAATTTAAATACATATATCATTATCTAAATTATCCTTATTATACAGACCTCATAAGCGCTTGTTGCTTGAAGTTTAAAGAATACTGGTAAAAATCCATAACAAACAATAGGAGTTCCTATGAGGTATGATAAATTAATTATTACAAACTGCGTTCCATATGTGTAATTTTCTGCAGAGACACCTAACAAGGTGATTGCAGACATGAAGGAAACCACTAGTGCAACACCCACAGGCATGATACTCATGGACCTGCTGGCAATGAAATATTCCTGTAAAATAATTTTGCTTTAATTTAACATTGTTTTAAAAGGAAACTTGCAATTTTAAAAGAATGACATACATACCTCCATAGTTTTTTGTCGTCCACCACTGAACCGATAATAGATGCCTATGCCTACACTTATGCATAATGTAGCTGCTATAACCAGGTAATCTTCCCATTGTAACATACCTTTTTCCATGCTATTGTTCTATTCACACAAATAAAGAATACTTTATTAATTTTATTTATTTTTATAGATACATCACACAGTATTCACTAACCAACGAATAATACCATCAAAAAAGAAAATGTACTTGCGATAGATTGTATCAAATCTGTTAAGATCCAATCTAATCTACACTAGGTCTGCCTTATTAAGCATTATTATCTTTACAATATGTGTTAAGTATTATTTGCCAATATTATCTGTAACAAGCGAGACTTACAATGTTATATCACAGATGCTAACTCACGTTTTATCACAATTCTTTTCAGAGTGCAAATGAAATTCTCATTCAGAAAGAGAAAAAGCTATTACACGTGAAATTTAAATTCCAATGAAATCATATGAGAAACAAATTAATTCATACAAAGATCAAAGAAGTTCATATGAAAATGGTTCTTGCTTTTCAATCATGAAGAAAAGATTTAGTTGTATTTAATATTAATGTCAATGCAACAATTTGCAACATGGAGTACCGTGTAAAAGTTCACGTAATCATATTTTTTTCAATGATTTAAATCGACGTCATTGATTATATCAAGGAATTAGCTACGATCACGGCGATTCTCGTGCTTGTTAAGCCGTGTCAACGATAGTTCATGCCGCTAGAAAGAAGCTAGGAAGAATTATGTGTGCGCATGGTGCATGTTGCTCGACTTACCGGGAGCGTCACGATGTCGTTCACCGATACAACTGGCAGAAGTGTCTCGCCACGACGGATCGCTCTTGATCCGCGTCGCGAAGGCTCTGACCCTTCTTAACCACTTAATGGATTTCAACGACGCCTCGCGTGAAAAAGCAGTCGCGTTAGTATACAAGGACACGTGGAAAAGAGGCAGGCACGCGCAAAGACTATTCGAGTAACGCGCATGCAAAGTTTAAACGGTACGGATACCACATTTTCATACATATTTCAAACAACAGAATTTTACCGAAATCATTTGTCTAAGTTGGAATATTTCGAAGGTTATTTTCCTTCATTAATAAGTCGAGCGTTGAGGATTTGTTAACTTTAAAAAATGTCAGAATTTAGGTTGGAAAACTTGGAGGATCGTTCTTCTTTGTTGATGAGGTGTACATTTAATCAATGATGAATTGAACTCTGGGAATTTATTGTGGATTCCAATCTCCCAGGGAATGTCGAAAATTTTACATACTCTGAGGAATATTAAAATTCCTGGAATAGAACCGTGAAGATCTTTCTGAAATGAAATATACAATATATAATAGAGGAAACTTGTTTTTCCTCGTGAATTCTATAATTTGATTTTTGATGAATATAGACTTTCATATCTGAAAACTAATTTTCTTAAGAGAAAATTGGGCATAAATTTCAAGCTTCATTCATTTCAATTATAATCAAAATTATGCGATACCTTTCTGCTAGTAGGAGGAATTAAATTTATTTTAAATTCAATTTAATGATACAAACACGATTCAAAGGTTCCGCAATGAGAACCACTGTTCGCTATTGTCATCCGCACAAAGGTAACCAGCATTTAAATATTCAACGTTTGCTCAAATGAACGCAACTGTTGAACGAAATTAATTATTTCCTTTGTTCCAAGAAACGACTGCCAATCATATTTCGAACGTTTTACGATCCTTTGTTTCATCACATGAAAACGTAATTACTTGCGTTATGGAAAAATTATTTGCAACAAGTGGCCAATGTCTCGACTTAATTGTTAGATAGAAATTCAATTGAGTGGATGAAACTCGACAAACTCAGTAAGCTGAAGAATTCACTGGCTAGCTCTTCAATTACGTAAGAGTGAAAAATTTCACTCTGTAAATTTGATTTTGAACTGCAATAATAGTTTGGGAAGAAGATCGTTCTGCAACAATATACTGAAAAATGGACCGTGGTAAAAATTCATGAAATAAAATTATTCGAATTCGATTAAATATCTTTCTCGATGCAGTCATCGATTAATAATATTTCTCGGAGGCACAGATACTTCGTCTCGACCGAGGTTGGTCGATCTCTCGCAGTTTATTCGCGCGATCGACTCGTTTGAAATAGTAGTTTGCAGCGAGAAACGTGCAGAAGATTGTTTGTCGTGAACTGTAGCGATGACAAAGAAAAGGGCGTTTACTTAATCAAAAAAAAGTAAACGATTATTATCATTTTTTGTTAGAAACGTTCGAGTCTTGCAAAATTATCGCGTTTCATTGCAAAAATAACCTAAGTTAACCTCAATCTGCTCGTTTGAAATGGCAGATTGCAGCGACAAATGTGCGGAAGATTATTCGTTCGACTATGGCGATGACAAACAAAAAGGTGTCTGTTTGATCAAAGAAGAGTAAGTGATTATTGCCATTTTTGATAAAAACGTTCGATTTTTGCAAAATTATCGCGTTTTATTACGAATATCACCTAACTCAACCTCAATCTAGTCGAGCCACATGGCGTTCTGTCACAATACAAACCTTTTAGTCGAATAATGTAAAACTGTGATAAAAGTATTAATTACATTGCAGTATTTTCTTAAATGATTTATCATCTTCCTTGACGGCAAGGATTTTTCATTAACGTGTAAATGATAAAATTATTGCAGGTTTATACTGGAAGATCGTATTAGACATTTAAGTGGTGACACTTCTGCATTGGACGAACCGCCGTCCAAAAAAATCAAATATGACAATAAGAAGGAAAAGCACAGGGGGCAAAACAAAGCAAGGCCTCCGCCATTTAAGACACAGAGCAAATTGAATCTGTGCCCCAGGATAGCGGATCAAGCAGTGAACGAACTCGAAAAGAAATGCGATAATAGTCAATGCATATTCCTGCACGACAGAGTTGAATATTTGAAAATCAAGCCAGATGACATTGCTGACGAATGTTGCATCTTCGAGCTTACTGGTAGGTGCCCCAGAGGCATTACTTGCAGAATGGGTTCCAAACATTTGACCGAGGAAGGTTTGAATATCATTGACAATGAGAAACTGGAGGAATTCGCGAAAAGGCCACCTTCTACAAAGAATTACTTGACTAAAGATATTCAGACTCGATTAAGGAAACACAAGTATAATTTTTCTAAAGCTGAAAACATTGTTAAGGCGAACGGGCCATCTAGCAACAAGATAGAGGTAAAAAACGTTACAGCAGAACCAAGATTAGAAAATATTAAACAAGACTTAGGGATAAAAAATGTTGAACAAATTGACAAACTCTCGAATAAAGATAAATTGGAGATAAAAGACAGTCCAGTATTAGATACTTCTATTAATGAATCTAAAAACGAGACCATCGAGACTCAGAATACAACAAAAAAACTTGGCCCTGTTGAAGATTACGATTTGATCAAATGTAGGTACTTGGAGAAGAAAAAGGTTGATTGGAAAAATAAGATACTGTTAAGTTCGTTGACTACAGTGGGCAATCTGCCGTTTAGAAGAATTTGTAAAGAATACGGAGCAGATATAACTTGCGGAGAAATGGCTTTGGCACCGAAGATACTGCAAGGAGCTCATGAAGAGTGGGCGCTGGTGAAAAGGCACGAGTCAGAAGATATCTTTGGTGTACAGCTTTGCGGGAACAACCCGGGAGTATTAACAAGATGTGCACAGTTGCTGAATGAAGAAATCGATGTTGATTTCATTGATTTGAATCTTGGCTGTCCTATAGATTTAATTTATAGACAAGGAGGAGGCAGCGGTATGCTGAACCGACTGAATGTTCTAGAAACTGTTGTAAAATCTGTTAGCCAAGTTATGAGTATACCTTTAACTGTAAAAACTAGGACAGGCGTTTATATGGACAAACCTATTGCACATACTTTAATGCCAAAGTTTGTTAATTGGGGTGTGTCCATGATTACTGTGAGTAAGTTAATTACATTTTGAAACCTGCTGTTTTAAAATCTCAGGAAATTGTATTGAAAAATATTAACTATTAATTGAAAATTAATGTAGGTTCATGGAAGATCACGCGAGCAAAGATATACGAAATTAGCCGATTGGAATTACATAGAAAAATGCGCAAAAGCGGCAGATCCTGTTCCAGTATTTGGGAATGGAGACATTTTATCGTATGACGATTATCAAAGAGTTCGGAACACATATCCTTCTGTATATGGGATCACCATAGGACGTGGGGCATTAATAAAACCATGGATATTCACCGAAATAAAAGAGAAAAAGTTAATTGATATTTCAAGTTCAGAAAGATTTGAGATCTTGAGAAAATATGCCAATTATGGCCTTGAACATTGGGGCTCGGATACTCGTGGCGTTGAGACGACAAGGAGATTTATGTTGGAATGGATATCTTTTTTGCATAGGTAACTTCGAAACATTAATTAATTATTATGTATATATATTTACATAAATTATTAAATATTATTTTTAATTATAGGTATATTCCTGTTGGAATATTAGAAAGACCACCGCAAAGGATCAACGAGAGACCACCATTTTACAGAGGTCGCGACGACATGGAAACGCTAATGGCTAGTTCAAACTCTGCAGACTGGATTAAATTATCGTAAAATATTTTCATTTACCATCGCATATTTAATACAATTGCTTTGTTTAACTTAGATTTCATTTTCAGAGAAATGTTACTAGGAAAAGTACCTGAAGGATTTAATTTTCTGCCAAAGCACAAAGCGAACGCGTGGAAATGATGTATATGTCGTATGAAAAGAAAAGTTTTATCTTCCTGTTCTATTTTTATTAAATAGATTTATTGGAATAAATTCTAGATGAGAAGAGTAAAAAATCTTTTTTATTTTGCTAAACATTCACACGGACATTCACAAACAGTCGCATGAACAAGGAAATAAACAACTTCGATAAAACGAATATAGATTACAAATTTATATATATTTGATAATATACATAATGATTCTGTACCAGATCTTTTTTGCACCACTAAATATTCAATCGTTTAAAATTTAATAAAGAATTTTCACTTCTTAATTGTTAATTTCTCTGATGCAATATGATGTAAAAGACTATTGGTGATTAATAATGTTTAGTTATATCTCCGAGGACAGATTTTGGCCACATACAGTCACAACCACTGGGAATTTGTTTGACAAAAGGTTCCCAACACTCGTTTTCCCATCGTCGCCTTACCAATATCAAAGTTCTACTTCTTTGCACGCAATGAAAACCATTATATACGCATTTCTGAAATAAATATACTCCACTTAATGCAAAAAAAAGAAACAAGAGATCTGCAGTTTCTATAGAGATCTTCCAAAACTTACTTATTGGTAAATATCAACATTTTATGCTATTGTATTCACAAGATACAACTATTAATTTATAGAACGTAATATAGAAATTATCATAGAAACCTAGTATAATATTAAAATACTAACTAAATTAACTTCAATCAACACGTACAATTTTATTTAAATTTTATGACTATCAAAGTAAAAGAGTTGTTTCTCTTTCAGGTTCTGGATTCCCGAGGAACGCCTAACTTACCAACTATAGTATTCTCTACTCAAATATTCTAAATCGTAGGTAATTTTGCTCAAGATTTTCTTTTTATTTTTCAATCTACCTGCTTCGATGGATTGGCGCGTTGAAGGCTGTCTAGCAAAGCGTTACTTTTACAGTAAACCTCATGATAAAGAGGCGGTTGATACTCGTACTCGGAATCGTCTAGTTGCACTGTTTCCGTTACAGTTTCGCATAAACTATGATACTCCTACAGACAAAGTGCAAAATGTTAAATTTCGCTTTTCATTTATTTCTTTTTTTTGGATACATCACGACTGACAGGCAATGAATTTCTATTGTCCCGATTGAAGAGCCATTGCCTCTTCTCAAGTTTCTCAGTGTGATCTTCTTCAGGTAGATGGAAAACATTCTGTATCAAGTTCCTTTCATACATATTTCTCAAGTCGTGGTAACTTCTGTTACATTTTTTGCAAAGGTCGTAGGTCACTTGCCCTGACACTGCCATAATCGCTAACTGAAAAGGAAAAGTTTCTAAATTATACAGCTACGTATTTTTTATGAATTTTTCACAAACAAACCTCTTGCAACTTTAAATCAAGAGATCAATAATCTTCAAGCATGAATTAAATCAAAAAGGATATATTGCAGAAATTACGAATCGCATAATGGAAGAATTAGTTACAAATACCGATATAGTAAGATATTTTGGCTGTCGTAATAGAGGGAAATGTTACAAAGCTAGAGGATCAAAGCTGCGAAAAACGAGCCATTGATAATCGACGATCGTTCTAGCGTTTTGTCAGTTGCTACATTATTAAACGACCGATTCACTCCACTTCCATTCCCACTTGGCAGAACCCTCTGCATACGATTTATGCTTTATCAAGTTTGATGGGTCTCTAACTCTGACTGAGACCTCCGTCGATGCTTGAATTTTAACGATGACGTCACGAAATATCATTAAGGACCCGTGGTATCATCGTTTTTTTATCATTTTAATTCAAACATGAATCGCCTTTCTGAAATACTACATCCAATGAAATTTTAGGAAGGATTAACGTTGCATGAAATTAATTCAGTTCAATTATGGCAAGAGCAACAGCATGATAAAGTTGTGTTCAATGAAAATCACTAATTGAAACTTAACGGAGGATTAATCGAGCTAGTCTCGTGATCAATTGGTTGGTGATGTCAGAAATCAGTGTGGCGTATTGACGAATCTCTAAAGACGATGATACTCCCGCGAAAAACAGAGTATGAACCGGTCAGCAAGGTCGATCGTGATTGAGCTGACGTGCTTCGCGTCGCACGATATAAATTGGTCTTCCCCGTGCCGATCTCTGTGGCTCTGCCTTTCAATTGACTGTGGAATAGTATTCACCTAGCAAAAACAGAGGAATAATTTGGGAATAACGAAACATTCCGTCGAACTAATATCGAAAACTAATAAACTCGATAACAAGGTAATTTCCTTTCTCAAACAATTTTTCTTCAAATAAAATCACTGACCAAAAAAAAAAAAAAAGGTCAGAATCATTAAATACTGCAAATGCTACATTATATTTTGGGTATTTTATATTTTTAGGATGTATTTTTACACATCGCGTGCTTTCCGAGTAATCTTCCACTTTTAAATTCTTGACAAATGCACTAAAATCCATCCACAGTCTGATGATTCAAGGTCCAAAAAAATAAGAATCCTTCAAGCTCCCCTCCTTCGATAATTTTTGTCAAAGCCTGATTCAACAACAGCCTTAACACTTCAAGGTGTTCTACGATCGAAACCAAAGTGATGATCATCAAGTGACCAAAATTAAAAGCGAATTAACACTTTCAGGAGGGGAGGCCAGGGGAGGTCATCAGCTCGAACCGCTATCAAGCGTATTCTCCACGCGGTGGCACGTCGGTGTGTGGTAGGTAGTTATCCAATTGACAGTGCCCCCGTCTGACATAGTTCAGTCGACGACGAACTTAGGATGATCCGACTGCATCTCTGCCAGCAGTGACGTTTTTGTAATTCTGCGTTCCAGTATCCAACGAATTGCGTTCATCCAACGTGTGCTTCGTCTCAGCTTTGTCTCAACTTTCCTCTCAACAAGAATACATAGTGAAAAGGGCGTCTACTGTAATCGTTGAGAATATATCGACATGACGGTTCCTGCAAGATTGTCCAGAGACGTGATCGTGCTTTGGGACCGGCTCGCTGGTCCAGTGAGAACAAACTCGGCCAAGGTTGACCGTTGCCAGTGAAACTGATCCTTTTTTCTGGCTGCTCTAGAGCAGCCGGCGACGCCGGTTTGTACCGACAGCTTCTTCTGGAACAAACACGTGTCCAAGTGGGGGGAGATGCAAGAGGATCAGCGCGATTGACATGGCAGCCGACCTGTACGCGAATGGATCCGTGAAGTCAACGTCCGGCAGGTGAGAGACATACAAGATAAGAGATAAGAGATAATTTCAGATAAGCTCCTGAGTTCTTTCTCTTCTCCGTATGCTTTGATGTTTGTTCACTGACCAACTATGGAGGACAAACTGGCAATGGAAATCGAATGACAGTTCATGCTTCGAGCCAGCATTATTGGTTGTGAATGGAAAAATTGGCAATTGTTGGAACTATTTGCTTGGAGCTTCTGAGAAGTTGTCTGAAGTGTTTGCTCTTGAATGTGATTGAAGGATCATGGATTATTGGTTGCGACGAAAGTGTCAGGATAAGTTACAATAGAAAATATATCGTTTTTTAGAAAAATTTTCTATTACACAGTAATATTGAATGATTTTCTCTGTAAAGTAGTATATGAACGAAAAGTGCATAGCTTTAGTTTTGATTTCTTTGCTACGAATTCTATACTTTAATCATTGGTAATTCTAGCGTTGATCCTCTCTTTGGTAAAATTCTCTGAACAAGTAGATCAATGTGAAATATGTAAAACGTATGTTGATTGACATAAAGTAGCATTAGGATTCGGTGAAGCAAGTATTATGTAAAATGTTACGTCAGAATTCATGGAATTCTAAAGCGAAGAGAGGAATACTTGATACCCTTATGAAGACATCAAACGGCAGTCTACAATTTTGATTGTTACATTATTAACATTCTGGTTTTTGAGATGATTCGTGCAAGAACGTGATTTCCTCACTTTTTTTTTTGCGGCAATTTTCATGACAATGAAACGGTTTAATAGCCGTTACTGCTGTCTGAGTTAATAACCAATTGACCCTCGGCCTCCTGAGCAAAGGTTCCGTTGATGAACGCCGTTAGACAAAACTTGAACAGTTGGTCACTCGAAATATTTCTTGGATCTCGAACATCTGGGGGAAATTTCGCTTACTCGTATACGTATTCGTGCAGAACTGAGAAATTTCGAACGAACAGAGAGAAAATAAATGGAAGCACTCGGGTCGTCTAATTTAAAATCATCAGATTGTTGTGAACCACTTGACTTGATCTTAATGCAAAGTCGTTTCACGCGGCATCTAGAAAATCACGACGTACGTGAGACAGTATTGTGACAACGTTTTGCCTCGAATTCTTCATTTTCTTTTCTCTAAATCCATGACATTTTCAGTCGTTCCTGCGAAGTGGCTGCCCGTACACCAAAGAATATATGCCCGTCTATCATCAATTGCGACACGATAGAGAACACAGCAGAATGAGCGTTCACGTAACTGCTGTCAAAGGAAAAATTAAACACAAACACATGTGCTCTTTTTGATAATATTGACAAGGATCGGCACAAGTGTCGACCTGTCTCGAACAATTTTTGCTGGGCATTTCTCGTGGACAGTCGTCTTGTTTACTGGGAGTCTGCGAAGCGTATTAGCCTCTAATTTACATTTCTTAATATTCTTTGTACTGCCACCTCGAACTCTCATGGTTGAACGTTCCATTTAATTAAACTTGCTGCAGTACATCAATTAGAGAATCAACTGATATTGAAATGAATTTGAGAATGGAAGAAGACGTTCATTTGAATGTGTAAATTTTACCGTTTTTTCGTATCAACCAGGGGAACGGTGCGCGCTAATGGCGCATTTTTTCAATTGAAAAACCGTGCAATTTCAGTCGTTGAACGTCGACGAGTTGGAATAGTAAGAGAAACCGGTTGGCACGCGATTCGTAACACGAAATTGTGAATACGGGACGCGGCTCGTAAACGGGAACGATTAGCAGGGAGGAGGCCATTAGACTCGTTAATTTAGGAGATCAATTAGATTCTTCTTGTCCCGGGAGGCAAGGAGCGACCAGAATTTCATCAAACGTTCTACGTGACGTGTTTACCGCCAGTTTCAATACGTTATTTGCTCCACATTGGCAGTCATGAGGCCGCAAGTGGTCTAATCATTCTGTTTTTCACTTTGCAAGATCGGAACCTATATCTTCCTTTCGATTAGTCTTCAGCCTTCTCTCACGTTGCAAATTCTCCAGATCGAAAATTTTCGAAATCAATTTTTACGAAGTTTTCGAAAAGTCGTTCAGCTTTTTTTCTTCACATTTGTGAAGAAAATTTCTTTCCCTTTTGTCTCTCGCGACTGTTTCGAAGCACGAGATGGAATTTCTTGCACGAAACAGCGTCTTATTTGGGTTAAAAAGTTTCATTTCCTGAGCAGAACAGTGACTTTAATTTAAGTTTATAGCCGGCGTGACGCTCTGCCTACATTCATGTCGCGTGATTCTCTCAAATTTTTATTTCTTCATTTCTGTCTCTCGTACGTACACATATTGTACATATGTGTCGCTATCCGCCTGTATTTTTGAATTTAGACCCATTGGAATGATTTGCAACATATTGTCGGTAATACCTCTGATTTTTTTTATCAATAACTCAATTTGCTAAAGGTAGTCTTTGTTTGTGCAAATAATTTTGCAGTATCTTTCCTTTTCTATAATGTTTGCTCTTCCTAAATATTTGATGTATAATCAAAGAATGTCAGTCCAGTTAGCACTTCTGTGTGACAGTATTCTTTTTTTTTATTTCTTTTTCTACCCGAATAAAAGTTTCCGTTGTGAGAACGTTTGTGTATAACTATATTAAGAAAGAATGCGAACACAGATTTTAAAGAGACAATTAGATCATGCTGTTGAGATATTTTCGCGATGACGGATTTAATCTTGTTAGCAGGTCGCGAATGACGTGTACGAATATTCAATAGCTGTACAAATGTGGCTGTTTGGTTCCAATCTTGATTCACTATCTAATGGAAATTTCGAATATTGCGGAAGATTTATTGGTATTGGGATATGTTTAAAAAATTCCTTAGGGCCAAACAGGCCTGAAAAAACAGCCAAAGCTCCCTAGTCCCTATTCAGATTATTTTTAGGTAGCAAGATAGGGGCTACCCCTTGATGCCGGCTAAAAATAGCTGGTAAGGCCAATCCAACTCCAATTATCCCATTTAGGTATTTAGGTGACAATCGACTGACCGCCAATTTAGAAATATTCCACACGCTGACAGCCCGGGGACCTCAACCTGCGTTCTGGACGAACACAAATATAATATATTATCAGGACAGGAAAGGCATTGCTAGTTACGAATGATCTTTCACGAAAATTAAGAAGCTACACGTTTAGTGATGGAAATTCAAAAAGAAATGATATTCAACTATGTCCAAGCCAAGTGGGAGGAAGTTCAGAGAATATGCTCGATGAAGACAGTGAATTGGAACTAAATGCATCGTCAGCCTCATTAGGGAAATATTCAGTAATTCAGTATCCCTGGTATCTAAACATTTGTACATTTGTAACAAATTCCTTTTGCAAAGGAATGAGAAATGGTCTGGAAAAGAATTACGATGAAAATGTTCAGATAGGTATATCTTAAATTGATATGGAGTTTAAAGTTAAAGTAAAATGTGATTCCATTATTGTGGACGAATATTGCTGTGTTCTGTCCATTTACTTAGACAGAAGTAACTTGTAATTGTTAGTTATAATTGTAATTGTTAGTTAGTTATAATTGTAATTGTAATTGTTAGTTAGTTATAATTGTGTAAATGTTAGTTGTAATTATAATTGTGTAAATGTTAGTTATAATTGTAACTGTTAGTTAGTTATAATTGTGTAAATGTTAGTTAGTTATAATTGTGTAAATGTTAGTTGTAATTATAATTGTGTAAATGTTAGTTATAATTGTAAATGTGTAAATGTTAGTTATAATTGTAAATGTGTAAATGTTAGTTATAATTGTAAATGTGTAAATGTTAGTTATAATTGTAATTGTAATTGTTAGTCATAACTGTGTAAATGTTAATTACAATTGCGATTGTAATTGTTAGTACAAATGTACGAAGCGTACGCCTGCGGTATGCAACCAGTCTAACACGGACGTTCGTTTGTGCACAGAATTACGGGCAGCATGAGGCAACGTAAGACCGGCACTCTTGGCGCCGCGGCGCCTGTATCTCCTGAGGAGGAACGATTGAAGTTCCAAGACAACAGGTTCTTGACGACGTTGGTACTCGGCAGAAATAGGTGAGTGCCCAGCATTATTCTCCTCTCGTCCGTGCAATTCAGGATTTCATCAACCCTCCCTGCCCCCGCCTGGCAAATTGCAGTTTCAATTGCAGTCTCAGAAGGCACGTTGCGTTGCGTCGAATTCAAAGGAATCGACGGCCAATTCGGTCAACAATAATGGATCACTGCGCGCGCGGACACGTGACCATGCCCTCCTCATTGGAGAACAATCTAGCAACTTTTAACATCACATTTGATTGTAATAATACTTCGAACATCACAATCATAAATTTAACATCGTAATGATAAATTAGAAATCATCCAGCTGTCAATTAAACGAATTTTAGGCTCGTCCCGACAATAAGAAAAGACGTATCGTGAAATCGCGATCGCGATCGTTAAAGCGGATACGTTTCACGAATTGATCCTAACAATTTTTACCATATTACCATATTTCCAAGTAGCGAGCTAGAACGTTTGAATTGTAATTATGGCGATTGATTGCACACCTGTTGAAGCGGCACGACGGAACGATAAATTTAAACTGGGGAAACGCTAAATTTAATTTGCCATTTGCGCTGCGAATTAACATGCGTGTTTTAACGTCCTTTCCGAGCGAGCTGTTGCGAACTCGGAACGATGCACGGGAGAGACGTGCTAATTGTTCAGTGGTAAACAACGCGAGTTTTCTTAATGACGTAGTGGTACATCCATGATAATTAAAGTGTTTAAAGGCTGGCTGCCACAGCGTGCAGTATGGGATCGGGCGCGCTGAATGTGCGACCGTTTCGCGTTTTGCTATTCGTCGCTACTCTCTCGCCGCAATTATCGTCTCTCCTCCTGCTCGTCTCGAAATCGCGTCTTTAAATTCGAGTTTTCACATTTAAATTTAGACCGTTAATTTCGAGACACCTCGAAGGTGAAACATTTAAAATAGTCTTTGCAAAAACGCTTACCGTGTAAATGTACAATCGGTACATAATCGGCAGAATTCTTCGGTCCTCCTCGCTTCGACAATTCTCTCTCTCTTTTTTTTTTTTTTTTTTTTTTTTTTTTTTTTTTAATTCTGAGGAAAACCACGCTTTGACAAGAGCCACGCTTGTTAACGGCAGATCACTGCTCCGTATCAACTTTCGTCTAGCTCTTTTATAGTAATCGGGCTAGGTCATCTGTCGTTCGAAAAGTAAAGGGCATCGTCAAATACGGTGCACGATCCTTTTCGCAAACAGTGAAAATTCAATATCTCAACGTACCGTCGTTGTTTGATCGCCTACCATTTAATTGAATTCTTTAATCGCCTCGATTGACAGCGTCCCGATATTGATACCGATAACTCGAACCGTACATTCAACATTTGTAATTCCCCCCTCTTACCTAATTATATATTCACTCTTCTTTCTTTTCGTATATATATATATATATATATTTATTTATTTATTTATTTATTCATTACAATTCATTCCTCCTTTTAATAATAATTTTGCTTTTTTATTTTTCATACAATTTCTTTTATTTTATTCTTCTTCTTTTCTTTTCCATAGAAACGCGCTAACTCTCTGCTCTTTTTTCTACTTCAAATTTCACGATTTCTTTTTTGTCTCCTCCCTTTCTATCCTTCCTTTCATTTCGCATCTTTGTCTTTGATTTTGTCGCGATTGGCATCGTCGTTGCTCTTTCCCGTTCATTTCTCTGACTCTCTCTGTCTCTCTCTCTCTCTCTCTCTCTCTCTCTCTCTCTCTCTCTCTCTCTCTCTCTCTCTCTCTCTCTGTCTGTCTGTCTGTCTGTCTGTCTCTTCTCTTTCTCTGTTCAACACGCTTCTCGATATACCCGCGAACGAAAGCACTTCAATTACTAATCGTGGCGAGCGTGCCGAGTTTATGGTCGGACTGGAACAGACGGGCCAGGATTAACCTTAATATCGCGGTCACGTATCACGCGACGCTCGTTCTCTCTCGCCGAAAAAAAAAAAAAAGTCTTTTCAACTGTTGTTGAACAGTAGTGACGGACTCCGCGGAGAGCAGACTGCACTGATAAATCCTAATCCTCATCCATTATTTGTGGACACTTACATGTGAGTAGATCCCCGACGGTGAAATGTCGCGACAGAATTGAAAGAAAAAGAAAAAAGAAAATAGATCGTGCAGCTTAGTTTTATTTGTGCAATTTCGTTGATTCAGTTCCACCCACGAGTTAACACGATCGAGTTTCAATGAAAGTGACATTTAAATTCCCCTCTACATTTTGGCGTGTATTTAAGGGGGGGGGGGGGAGCGTGCATTAAAGAAGAGGGTGTGTAGTGTTTTTTAATACACTTTCTGCAGTGCGTAATTATACTTGTCGCGATGTGTTGATTCAAATAAAGGTCATTCTACATTTTTTTTTTTTAGAATAAATTTTCATTTAAATAGCGTTTAAAACACGATTGAAGGAGAAACAGAAAGAAAGAAAGAAAGCTCTCGTCGTGTCGGCGAAATCGTTCCAAATTAGAATTTATCACACGAGTTGTTAGTTTCTCTAAGAAAGACCAATCGACCCAATGAATCGGATTAAGGCTTGCGTAGGTTGCGTCGACGCTCTGTCGACGCATTTATTTTGACAAAATTGCGCGTAATTGAGACTTAATAAACATATTGTCACTAGCTCCTCGACACGGTCCCCTCCCCCCCTAATCCGTTTCCATTGTTTGTGGAAACGAACCTCTGAAACATGCAGGAATTTAAAAAAAAAAATGTCCTCATTCCCGAGTCTTAAATCTTACAAGGATTGGCAGTAGTCCAATCGAAATTTTCCCTTGTTGTGCGAAAGTTAAAAGTGCAGGAGTTAATCACTTGCGCTGGCAACTGATTGCGAACCATAACGAGTGACCAAATCGTACACAATAATTCGTCGCTTTCTTTTTGAACTCGTCGGTATAATATCAGAATAGATAGAATCTGAATAGAAATTATTGAAAAGTAATAAATTATAGTACTTAAAAACTGAGAAAATATTGCAATTTTGGGCCAAAAAATTCTTGACGTGCGTGGCACATTATTCCAGCACAAAAGGTTAAGAATGAAAAGAAGCGAAAAATGTTCGAAGCAAGTTCTCGCTCCTGAGTCTCGAGTCTTACATTTTTCCAAGATCAAACAAACTCTGCAGCAGGTTTCTGTAAATTTACGCAAAAGTTTTTGAATACTATTTTCAGGAAAATCTCGCCGGACGTGCTGCCGTCGTGTTCCGCGGGTATTTTCAGGCAAAAGTCGTTCCGCGCGTCGACGCCGCCGCGGAGCAACTCGAGCAGCGCACCTGCAGCGACCAGCGAGCGCCAGCACGCAGATGCGGAACAGCGGGGTCCACGTGAGCCGAAAACACCTAACAGCGGCAGCACACGTTTGAAGAGCGGCGTGTTACTTCTGGCGCGGAGCGCCCGCGGCACCAGTAAGCACGCGCGCCTTGGCACGGCACTGGCGAACAAAATGGCGTCCTCGAGCACCAGCACGGTCGTGCAGGGCTGGCCGAACACCAAGGACGACTACGAGCTGAAAGAGGTTATTGGTGAGTAATCGTTGGCCTCGGTATTCCCTTCGTCCGCCACCATCGCGGAAACGCATGCGAGAATTACGCGTGTCGCCGACGTGGTGCACACGCTTGCCCGCTCCGGACGAACAGCTACTTCGTGTTTCTTCTGACGTTAAGTCAAGAGTCACCTGGCTCGTTAAGTAACAGAACATTCCCCTTCCCGAGCTGAGAACTCGCCTTTCGCGGTGAAAACGAACACCGCGGGAAAGGATTGAGGATTCTCGAGCGGCATCGCGAGCGAGAATCTCGAGTCCGCGTTTACGCGACTGTCTCTTTCGTGCTGCAGTTGGAAACTCGTTGTCCTACTCGCTCTTACGTATACCGGTGCTCGATACGTCCTAACCTAGTTAACTCGCTCGGAGAAACGGATTCACCGGATTCTTTTTCACGCGTATTCGTGTCTGGAATATACGGCTGCTCTGGGCCGTTCGCAAGTCGCTGCGAAGCTGAAAGTAGATAAGATCATCGTCCTCCGACTCGACCTAGTTTTTTCGAGATTATTTTCATTTATAAATGTTTATCTGAAACGAAAGAGTTTGAAGGTTATAGCTGGCACGTTATTGCGGTTCTTTTTCTGCTGTTTAGATCAGTTAAAAAAATGTACTTGATATAACTTGCTGTCCCAACGATTTTAACGTCTTTTGAGGTCACTTTTAAGGTAGGATTAATGTAAATAGAACAATATTGTTCTATTGTATTGTGGTTTGTATATACATATATATGTTTTTTGCATAATTGTCAAGAAAATATCGACGCGAAAGTCTTTCATTTAGAAAGAAGGTGCGAGTATAAATAAATTTCATAAAATTATGAAGAAGATCCAGATTCGGCAACGAACGATCTAATTTGAAAAGTACGTATTCTGCGTCAGTGTCACGTCATAACAGCGTCACGTGACACACAATGACGTATAATAACGTCATAATTGTTCGAACATACATTTGTTCAATTTGTACGTTTTATTCCGAGAAATTTTAATGCTCTATTGTATATTGTATTTCAGGTGTTGGCGCAACTGCCGTAGTGCACGCCGCATTTTGCATTCCCCGACAGGAGAAATGTGCGATCAAGAGAATAAACCTGGAGAAATGGAACACAAGCATGGACGAGCTTCTGGTAATTTCTTTTACGGGAAGCTCGAGTTAGAAAAAAATTGCCCGATAATGTGATAAACGTACCATTGTATCGGGGCAGAATTTCGTTTCGTGGACCATTCGCGTTATCACAGTTATCGCCACTTAACACAACAAATCCATTTATTTACACTCTGTAATTACATTTGCGCTTGCATTATTGAAGATATTGAATATCATGAACGACGATAATTTTGATATTTGTTCGAAAACATGATTCGCCGTTGATATATATCGATATTGTATCAGGATTTCGTTGATACCCGATCAGCAAAATTTTATTTAGATATTTAACATTTATTTATTTATTTATTTAAAAGACTATCGTTTTGGTTAACAGAAAGAAATACAGGCAATGTCCTCCTGCAATCACGAGAACGTGGTCACGTATTACACGTCGTTCGTCGTGAAGGAAGAACTTTGGCTCGTTCTCAGGTTGCTGGAAGGTGGATCCTTGCTGGACATCATCAAACACAAAACCAGAACTACGAATTGCAAGCACGGGGTATTCGATGAAGCTACAATAGCCACCGTCTTGCGAGAAGTGCTCAAAGGCCTTGAATACTTTCATAGTAATGGACAGATACACAGGTATACTGTTTTATATTATTTCTTGCTACAGTTACGAAATTATACAAAAGAAACTAACTCGTCGTGCTCAAAATTCGAAAAAAATCTCATTCTCCTCAAATTCTTATTATTCTTCACATATCTTCCAAATTTTATTAACTTTTAAAGTCCACTGTATTAGTTCTTCATGGATTAATTCAATCATTTCTGTTTATGCTTAATTTCTCTACTTTTCTTGCTTGTAAGAAAAAATTCTGGTACAGTTCTTATTATATAATCAGCTTTTAGGAAGGAATTAAGATTCAATAATGAAACGACTTACATTGCTCATGCAGAGTCAGTGCACTTTTATTTACAAGGAAACTTTTTAATTGTCGTTTCTAGTTTTAAAGCAGTCAAAAAAAAAAAAAAAATACTAAGAGTGAAGGATAATTGTTTCTAATGAAATGTGACGTGAATATATTTGATTCTCCGATAATGTATAGACAAATTTTAATGACAGAATAATATTAGGGACATAAAAGCCGGTAATATCCTACTAGGAGAAGATGGCACCGTGCAGATAGCCGATTTCGGTGTCAGTGCCTGGCTAGCAACTGGTCGGGATTTAAGTAGGCAGAAAGTCAGGCACACGTTCGTGGGCACGCCTTGCTGGATGGCACCTGAGGTCATGGAGCAGGTGAGAGAGGAAAGTAACATTACAACTTCTTAGCCTGCGTTTTTTGATGTCCATGTTTATCCTTTTCTATTCGGTTCAAATTGCATTTCTTTATTTTATCAGAATACCCAAAGCCTAATTTCTTTTTCATAACGCACCAGATTATTCTAACTTATTTAAAAGAAGTTCTAAAATTCGATCTTCAAACTTTTATATTTATTTCTGTTTCCTTCAGCATGTAATTATTGTATTTGCGTCAAATATATTACTTATTAGTAACTACAAAATCCCCTTTTTTTTCGATATTATTGAAATAGCATGTTACCGTTAATAAGCAGCATGACTTGACCCCGTAAATTGGTGTTCCGATTTAATGCGTATGTTGCAAAATCAATTATGATATGTAAATAACCTTGCAGGACCATGGCTACGATTTCAAAGCAGACATTTGGTCACTTGGCATCACTGCCATCGAAATGGCTAGCGGCACAGCCCCATACCATAAATACCCGCCAATGAAGGTGCTCATGCTGACCCTGCAGAACGATCCGCCAACTTTAGACACTGCCGCCGACGATAAAGATCAGTACAAAGCCTACGGTAAAACATTCCGGAAAATGATCGTCGATTGCTTGCAGAAAGACCCGACGAAAAGGTTAATTTCACTGGTGATTGTTTTATTAAACCATCGAGGACCGAGTAACAAAATTCGTGAAGTTGGTCCTTGATGAGTTAAAAAATTAAAAAAAAAAAGAGAGAGAGATCAAAAATATTGAAGAAGAATAATTTTACAGACCAACGGCAACTGAGCTGCTGAAACATCCGTTCTTCAAAAAAGCAAAGGATAAGAAATATTTGCAACAGACTTTGGTAGCTTGCGGTCCTAGTCTTGAAACTCGAGTACAGAAGGTATAATTCTTTCTTTTTTGTTATATTTTTATAAATCGATATTTTATAGTGTGTATTTGTACTTTATTGTTGTCGTAATTGTCCCAGGCTTCGAAAAGACAACCTGGCACGTCGGGTCGTCTGCACAGAACAGTTACGGGAGAATGGGTTTGGTCATCGGAGGAAGAGGACAGCGGTGCGTCCAGCGGTGACGAGGGCAAAGAAGCTTTGCCAGTTAACACGATCGAGAACGCGTCTAGCACCGAAGAGGAGCCGGAGGAAGAGTTTTACGGACAAATAAAGTCGGCACGAAGTCACATTGCTGTACAAGCCACCGAGCAGAATGTTCCTATAAACTTGGTGCTAAGATTACGGTACATTTTTTTAAATTATATCCTTTAGTTTGATCATATCAGTTCTCTCAAGTTTTCTACTTTTCTTTCCGATTGTTTTACTTGCTACATTTTTATTGCAGTCGTCCCGAAAACCCTTTCATCCTTCAAGATACATTTGAGTACGTTCCTATTCAATTCCTGATCTTCTACAATAATTTTTAATCTAACCTTCTTCTCAAAGTAATTTAACAAAAATGTTACTCCGATCGAAATTTGAGATTGAATAGAAGATCTTTTCTTTATTTAGAAACCAGAAACGAGAGCTTAACGACATCAGATTCGAATTCGCTGTCGGAGTAGATTCCGCCGAGGGAATCGCGGCAGAGCTAGTCGGTGCGGGGTTGGTCGATGGCAAAGACATCGTTGTGATAGCTGCGAATTTGCAGAAACTCATAGACAGCGCCGGCCAATTACGGACAGTAACGTTCTCGCTGGTAAATCTTCTTCAAACCTTTTTTGCAAACGTCGTGAAGATCACATAGTAAAGCGCGAACAATATTGTTTCAGAATTCTGGTCACGCAGCCAATGAAGTGCCAGACGACAAGGCATTAATAGGATTTGCTCAGATCTCGATCACTGATTAGAACGGCACGGCAGAATTCATTGAAATTTCTCAGGATACCAATCTTAGACGTCAGTTCAGAGAATGGAAAGTGTCAGAAGCTAATCGCTGTTCTCTCGTTATCTGAGAATTTTGGGAAAAAGATTTATCAAGTCATTTTTTTCTTCACGGCTTTTGCTACTTTCACTTCCTCGGAGTTCTAATACACGCGACAAACTATCGAAAGAATACAGGACAATGAATAGAAATTCATTTGATGGACTGCTTGAACGCATTTTTCAAAGCTACGTGCAGCAGAGCTACGAGAATAGAGAATACGAGAATGCTGCTGATATTACTAAGGAAGAAGCTTGACTGAAAATAATCAGAATTATTTCGCAATGATCTTCTGTGACGCGAGATACTGATCAGTTCTGCCAGCTGTTCGTATGTTGCGAACGTGGAGAAGAAAACAATATGATACTGGCTTAAGTTTCCACTTGCTCTAATCATTAATGGCTGTAGTCTCATATATTCAACCTATATCACTCATATTATTGCATTAATTCCTGTGTAAATATTAATAGTCGATGAATTCTTCGAGATTAGGTTTATCCAAGCTCACGACTCAAGCGAGAGCAACAGAATTTCAAATAATTAAGTGAACGAGTGGCGAACTGTCGAAAGGTGCTTAAAAAAAAGAAAAAAAAGAAAAACATCCGACTTACTTATTTGAAATACCAGATAAATGAATATATATATATATTCTTTTTAGTTTTTTGAAAATATGCGTAATGTTCGATGCATATCGTGTATTTAGAAGAAAAGAAAAGGAAAAAACGAGAAAAAAAGAAGCGGAAGAAAAAAAAAACAATCGTCAATCTATCCTCCTGTACGTTGTAAACGATCGTTTACCGTATTTCTTTATGCTTTACGCTACAGGATTGTAGAACACGCGAAAGTACTAAAGAAACGTGTTTTGTACTTAATTAAATAGAATTAACGATAGCGGATTTATTATTTTGTAGCTTCATTAGAGGCAAACGGTTGAGAAATGAAAAATTACGATTCACGTGTCTTCGCTGGTGACACACACACACACACACACACACATACACACATACACACATACACACACACATGCACAGATGCAAATATATACAGGTGGTTGTTTTAAGAATGATTCAACCCTTTGAGACGTTTTTCTTTAAATTAATCTTCGTATGAAAAATCTTTCAATCATTTACACACGTAGAAATTTTTCATGACACATTTTCAATGTACTATGCTTAATTAATATCACAACGTTAATGTTCATTTTCTTTTATATATATTTAAAACAACTAAACTGTTAGCCACATTTTAACAATATAAAAACGAATAATCAGGATTTGATATTCGTGTGTTAATATTGACTTCAAAAATGAGAAACAAACTGTACAAAGGGTTGGAAAAAATAGATTGCATTGGAATCGCTTTGAATGGAATGAATCGAACGACGGAGGCGCAACTAATTATACGTGTGTTTGAATGAACCGCGAGATTGATGTGAATTATACAGGGCAAATAAATTTATCATAATTAGCCTGTTTTAAAAGTAATGTGATTTTGAGTTTAAGCGATTTTTCTGGTCCGCGTAGTGGACCCTTGTAAAATTGATAAAGGAAACAAATATTTTTCGCAATATTACGAATATATTGATATTACGAAGATGATGGAAATATTTATTGATTGAAAAAAAAAAAAAAAAAAACAAAAAGGGGTTTCATGAAATAAAGCCTAGAGTTATTCTACTGAATAAACGAAAATTTTTTAATTGAAATAGAATTCCTTTATCTATTGTAAGAACATGTATGGTAGATTTTTATAAAAAAAAGTCACTTGGAAAATATAAAGTTTCTTTGTATTTCACGAGAGAAGTTGTCACATTCGCTTGCAAGTAAAAACTGTTACAGAAAAACGAAAAAAATATTGATGCTTGTTAATTTCTGTTGAACTTCATTATTCTTTTCTTTTTTTTTCTCTCTCGTCGGCAAGTAATTAGTCATTAAACGACGAAAGCAATGCATTTCGATATTATCGAACGAGGAAGAATAGTTCTTTCTCCGGCGATTCTTTATTTTTATAGAGTTATTAGAAGAAATTTATTTGTGAGAAATGGATAATCAAACTTGAATAAAACAATTAATAACTTTCGAACAGATTCATTACACCTTAATTATTAATGCATTAAATGATAAAAGTCTGTCTAATGAAAAAGTGATCTATTGCTACGTAAAAATTTGAAAAATAATAAAAATAATCATACTCAAGTGTTATTTATATCTTATTATTAATTTATCTTTCGATATAAAATGAGAAAGATTGAAATATAGATAGAAAGCAATCGTGTAATTCAAAAGTATCGCGAAATTATTTCAAAAAGGCGAAAAGTATTGATTTAGATAGTTTTTAGTGCATAAATTTACTGTACTCTACAGGGAAATGTAATCTGTATTCAAAAGAGAAATGACAAACATCCTACCCTGTACGAAGTTCGCGTTCTACTGCGGAACAAAGTTACCAAACGCGCATGCGTAGTAACTTGCCGCCAATTCACTTGTCTAGTCCAAACTTTTGAATCCAATTTTAATGTAACATTTTAATACATTTAATACATTGAATAAATTGTAATGTAAACATTCACCGTTCTTTTCTTTTCCGCTTTATTCCTTTTGTTTCTTGTTTCTTTCTTTTAAATAATTCTGTTTCGTCGATTTATAATTAGAAAATGCTTTTTGCGATTAAAATCGTATTTTATAACAACATTACTTTTACACAGATTAAAGACTTCAGAAAACACAATTAAATATGATATAATTAATTTTTCATCAAATAAACGTGCATTTTAGATGAATGAAAATTAAAAAAATCTCTCTATTGCGCACGCGTGCGATTATTTGAAATCTAAACCTCTTCTGAGGCTTCTATACTTTTATTCCAGTCCTGATACAGTAAGCTTCAGTTAAACGACACTCAATGTATCGAAAAATAATTATTTACTTTACTGTTATGGAAAAGAATTCCATAAAACCATTTAATATTTAGACGAGAATTTTGAAAAATTCAAATTATCAGTTTTTTTTTTTGTATTTCTCAGTGTACCAAAGGGTGTTTAAGTGACCAGTTGATGACAAACAATAACACAGGAATTGTACAGTGACAAATATAGTGAAAATGGCCAAGTTCTTAGCCACGATTAAGGCGATAATAACGCGGTTAGTATTCGCGTCTCATGGTTTTATTGCGATTTGGCAAGTGACTACGTTTAAAAAGAATCCTTTGTTTTGGTACCTGAGTTGTCCAATTTTGTTGTTATTTTTCGAAGGAATTTTCACGCTCACTATAAAGGAGAATCAAGAGTGGAAGTGGTGAGTAGTGAACATTTATCACTATTACATTCATCATAATCTAAAGACTATAATTATTTTATTTCATTGCAACTTCAATCAGAAACAATAATGTTTCGATAGTGAAAGAAATCACTGTAAATATTTACAGATTATAATAATCAATGCACAGCGAAATTACAAATAAAATAAAACTAATTATTTAAATTGTAAAATTATATATATATGTATATTTATTTATTTATTTAAGCGTAATCTTTCTATAATGAAAGAAAAAAAGTTATGGAAGTAGCAACTAAATGCAGGTTCTCTAATGCAACAATCTATACGATAAAACAAACCTACTTTCGTCTGAGAAGGAAAGGGTGTGCTTTTGTAGGACCATCTCAATTTGACAGTCGGAAATTGGAGCATTAGTAATAGGAGCGGGACGAGACACAATCCACTATAAGTCGAAAATTATCGATACACAGAAAGAGCCGTGTAACAGTGACCTCTTTTTCTGATATCCTTTCCTATTCACATTATATGATTGATTGATTGACTCGGTGGAAATCGTATTTTTGACTATTCCTGAAAACGATCAATATATTAATATCATAGAGGCAATGAAACATATTTGAACTCGTTTAAACTAAAATAAAATAGCAATCAAGTGAATCACCATAAATGAATCTTTCTATAAAAAAGATTAGTTTCTCATCTTCTATAATTACAATCATTTCTCTCATAATCCTCGAAGCAAAACAAATTGTAAAATTTGATATATTATTATTTTTATATTTTGTATAAAATTAAATATATTCTTACCGAATTTAACTATACCAACTCCAATAATCTCAAGATTCTTGCTTGTCGCACACTATCGCTCTCCTTGTCTACCGCGCGTATATGTCTGTCCTTTGTCGCACGCTGCTGCTCTCCTTGTCTATCACGCTTATATGTCTGTCCTTGTCGCACGTAAGTGACTTCCTTGTCTAACACACAAATATTTCTGTCCTTGTTGCACGCTGCTGCTCTCCTTGTCTATCACGCATATATGTCTGTCCTTGTCGCACGCCAATACCCTCCTTGTCTATCGCGTCTGTATTTCTGTCCTTGTCACACGCTACTGCTCTCTTTGTCTAACGATGCTAGACAAGGAGAGCAACAGTGTGCGACAAGGACATCCTTCGATCTATTGAAAAAATATTCAACTTTTCACATATACGTTTTTTTGGGACAAACCATAGACAGGCAGAAAGCAGGGAACCTCATTTTATGGAAGCATATAAAAAAGTTCAGAAATCATTCCTCTTAATTAGGTTTTTTCCGTAATTAGTGCGAAATGTTACAAATTGGGCATGGTGGCGCCATCTAGCGGTGACTCGGTGGTACTAATTATTTATAAAAATACTTATTTCTGCATTTTACGGGTCAAATGGGGTATGAAAAGAAAGCTAAGGATCTAATTAGGGTAATACAATCGCCAAAGTTCATAATTCATTCCGCTAAATTAGGTTTTTTCGCTTATGAAAATTTCTCTGTTTTACGGGGTAAGAAACACTAGCGCCACGTTGTGGCAGACCAGTGGAACTAAACGCTCCATTACCATATAAGAGAAATGATTAATTTTAATTTTTCACGCCACAAATTTGCACTCCACGAGCATATATTTCGATGACACTGTTATCAATAACGTTTGCAAATAAATCTGAATCTAATATTCATTATAATTTGCGCAAAATTATGCACTCACTATTGACACTACTACGAACATAAACGAAATTGAAACATTCCTTATATACGTAAACTATACTTAAACAAAACATAGAACACAAACTAAGGGTCTCTAACATCAAAGACGCAACCATAACAGTTCACAAATGATTCCTTTTAATTAATTTCTTCTCGTAATTTGTGGAAAATCAATCACCTAATGTTTAAAGGCGACCGTGGCGCCATCTATTAACCACTTGGTGGTACTAAAAACAGAATTTTCAACTTTTAGTACCACCGAGTAGTCAATAGATGGCGCCACGGTCGCCTTTAAACATTGACAGGTGATTGATTTTCCACAAATTACGAGAAGAAATTAATTAAAAGGAATCATTTGTGAACTGTTATGGTTGCGTCTATGATTTTAGAGACCCTTAGCTTGCGTTCTATGTTTTGTTTAAGTGTAATTTACATTTATGAGGAATGTTTCAATTTCGTTTACGTTAGTAGTACTGCCAGTAGCGAGTGCATAATTTCGAGCAAACTATAGTGAATATTAGATTCAGATTTATTTGCGAACGTAGTTGATAGCATTGTCATTGAAGTATATGCTCGTGGAGTGCAAATTTCTGGCGTGAAAATTGAAATTAATTATTCTTCTTGTATGGGCATAGAGCGTTTAGTTCCACCGTTCTGCCACAACGCGGCGCTAGTGTTTCTTACTCCGTAAAACAGAAATTTTCATTTGCGAAAAAACCTAATTTAGCGTAACGAATTGTGAACTTTGGCGATTGTATTACCCTAATTCGACCCTTAGCTTTCTTTTCATACCCCATTTGACCCATAAAATGCAGAAATAAGTATTTTTATAAATAATTAGTACCACCGAGTCACCGCTAGATAGCGCCACCATGCCCATTTTGTGACATTTCGCACTAATTACGGAAAAAACCTAATTAAGAGGAATGATTTCTGAACTTTTTTATATGCTTCCTTAAAATGAGGTTCCCTGCTTTCTGCCTGTCTATGGTTTGTCCCAAAAAAACGTATATGTGAAAAGTTGAATATTTTTTCAATAGATCGAAGGATGTCCTTGTCGCACACTGTTGCTCTCCTTGTCTAGCATCGTTAGACAAAGAGAGCAGTAGCGTGTGACAAGGACAGAAATATAGACGCGATAGACAAGGAGATCAACAGCGTGCGACAAGGACAGACATATATGCGCGATAGACAAGGAGAACACCAGCGTGCGACAAGGACAGATATATAGGCGCGTTACACAAGGAGAGCAACAGTGTGTGACAAGGAAAGAACGATAAAGGCGGTAGACAAGAAGAGTGATAGTGTGCGACAAAGACAGATGTATACGCCTACAAAGCGAAATTTCAAATTTTTCGGGATTCCGATTGCAAATTTTCGAAAATTTTTGAGAACAAAGTGTGTTTACACCAAAAAAATGTAAATAAACATTGAAAACCAAAACAAAGAGTCAAAAAATTTATCAATAAAAATTGGAAACCAAAATAAACAGACCAATGTTGGCAAACAAAGCAAAATATCAAAATTTTCGGAATTGCAAATCCAAATTTTCGAAAATCTTTCAAAACAAAGTGCGTTTACACCAAAAAAATGTAAATAAACATTGGAAACCAAAATAAACAGACCAATGTTTGGAAACAAAGGAAATTTCAAAGTTTTCGGAATTCTGACTGCAAATTTTCGAAAATTTTTGAGGATAAAGTGTGTTTACACCAAAAAAATGTAAATAAACATTGGAAACCATAATAAACAATCAAAAAAATGTAAATAAACATTGGAAACCAAAATAAACAGACCAATGTTTGCAAACAAAGCGAAATTTCAA